TGTTGCAGGAGGTCATCGAGAGGACATGACTGCCAGGTTGACCATGAGCCTGACCAGGGCAATTGGAGGCTCCTCACCCTCTCCCCTGTCCTTGGAATGTGCATTCGCTTGCCTTCTCCGCTCCCAGAAGCTGCCCCAAGGATAGAGCCTTGAGATAGCAATGTGATGATGAGACTCTCTGGACTGTGTACGTGACTGAACCCCGTTAAGGCCTCCATATAAACTTCTTTTAAGATTTGGCAGGCAGGGGCGGACAACTACTCGTCTTGTGGCCATCCAAGACAAGCCTCCTAAGTAAGTTCCCTTGCTTGTTAAAACTGCCACCCACCAATCTGGAGTGGTCTTCCTCTTTTTTAGATCTCTCCCTGCCCTCCAAGTATGGAGGCGGGTTTCAGACCACAACCGGGAAGCTCCCAAGGAGGTTGTGAACCAACACACAATCTACTCATTTCCAAAGTTACTTAGGTCAGCACCTTTCCCTCTCCTCCCCACACCCCCTTTAGTGAGACCGTTTCATACATTTGTAATACAGTTAGAGTCATTTGTCACACTCTGCATTCTGTCCTAGCATCTCTGCCCCTGACCACCTAAATGAGATTTTTAATTTGCGTATGTTAAGGTTCATTCTTTGTAAAGTTCTGTGGATTTTGACAAATGCTTAGTGTCATGTATTCACCATTACAATATCATACAGAATAGTTTCATTGCACTAAAAACTTCCCTGTGCTTCACCTATTCAACTCTCCATCTCCCCAGCCCCACTCCCCCTGAACTCCCAGCAATCACTGATCAGCTCACTGTCTCTGTAGTTTTGCCTTTTCCAGAATGTCCTATAAGTGGAATCATACAGAATGGAGCCTTTTCCAGACTGGGTTTATTCATTTAACAATATGCATTTAAGAAGTATCTATGTTTCTGCAGACTTGATAGTTCATTCTTTTTTATTGCTGAATATTACTCCATTGTATAGATGTACCACAGTTTGTTGAGACATTTGTTTATTGAGGGATATTATGGTATCTTCCAGTTTTTGATGATTATAAATAAAACTGCTATAAATATTCATGTGCAGCTTTTTGTATAGACATAAGTTTTCAACTTAGTTGGGTAAAAACTTAGGAGCACAATTGCTGAATTATAGGGTAAGATTATGTTTAGCTTTGGAAGAAACTGCCAAACTGTCTTCCAAAGTGGCTGTGCCATTTTGTATTCCCATCAGCAATTAATGAGAGTTCCTGTTGCTCTGCATCCTCACCAGCGTTTGGCATTGTCAGTTTTTAGCCATTCTAACAGGCATGAAGTAGCATCTCACTGTTGTTTTCATTTGCATTTCCCTAGTGAAAAATGATGTTGGGTATCTTTCTTACATTTATTTGCCATCTGTATATCTTCTTTGGTTAGGTGTCTGTTCAGATCTTTTGCCCATTTTTTAATTAAGTTTTTTATTTTCTTATTGTTTAGTTTTAAGAGTTATTTGTATATGGGGGACAAGTTCTTTATCAGACATACGTTTTGCAAATATTTTCTCCCAGTCTGTGGCTTATCTTTTCATTCTCTTAGCAGTGTCTTTCACAGAGTACAAGTTTTTAATTTTAATAAAGTTGAACTTAATTTTTTTCTTTTATAGATTGTGCTTTTGGTGTTGTATCTAAAAACTCTTCAAGCTCAAGGTCATTTTGTTTTTCTCCTACGTTTTCTTATAGAAGTTTTATAGTTTTTCATTTTACATTCAAGTCTATGATCCATTTTGAGTTAATTTTTGTGAAAGACGTAAGGTCTGTGTCTAGGATCTTTTTTTTTTTCTTTTGCATATAGGTGTCCAATTGTTTCAGCACCATTTATTGAAAAGGTTATTCTTTCTCCATTGGATTGCCCCTTTGTGCTTTTGTCAAAAGTCAGTAGACTGTATTTGTCTCAATAAAATTTTAACCTGTTCATGAAATCAATAACATTCAACAATATTTTAATGATTCAAATCTAAAGGCATAAAATGAATTCTACTAAATGTCAACATTCATTTCATGATTTATATTTTTAATAATCTATTATGAAATGACCTGTCTCTTGCCTACTTCTTCAACTTCATCTCTTCATGTTCACTAATTCCAGCCTCCTGGCAGTCTTTTTTTTCCTAGACCACACCAAATTCACACTTGCCTTAGGGCCAATCACTTCCTTGTAGGAGACTTTCAATCTAATTTGCGTCTATGGGCCTGAGGGGCCCCTGAAGCTCATGATCTTTCCTTTTCTCTTGGGAAAGGAGGTAAAATTAACAAATTGTGACTGTCAAGAAAGTTATACCAGGAACTGAATGTTCCTTTCTACCAGATACATTATTCATATTGCAACAAGGGAAGAGAACATGTAATGTTTATAAAATTCCTGCGAGAAGTCTCTCCTAAATCAGAAATGATGATGCCTGTTTAATGTTTCTTTTCGGAAAACAGAAAGGGACTTGATCCTGAGGGTGAGGTGATGTCATATCCGGCCCATTGTTTCCATTCCAGGTGAGGTCTGGTTCAGACCCACCTTTGACACAGTCCCAGAGCGTGCCTGTATCCTTTATCCAAGTGAGCAACTTCAGCCTGAGGTCCAGGACGAAGCAGCCATTTGGGGTAACCTACTCCTTGGCAGAGAGTTGAAAGCTATCTGAGTAATAGTGGAATATTTTCTTGCATGAGGAATAGAGGAAGCTTAAAAATCCTTTGACTGGTCTCTGTCTTCTGGCATCTTTGAACTTTCATCTCATTATGTTTAAAAGAAGGCAGAAAAGGTTTAGCCCAGAAAATGGTTTGATTTTGGCTGATACTAAGACAGCTCCTCCTGGAGTGCTTTGCCCCAAGTTGGTTCCTTCTCATAGTTCAGCTCTTATTTGAAATATCACCTGATGACATTATTTTTGAAACTACTCCGTCTAGTCACTGTGTTTTATTTCCTTCATGGGTCTTATTACTTTCAGAAATTACTGTGTTTCTTTGTTTTCTGTCTTTCGAACTGTTCTTCCACCCTCCCTTTAGAATGTAGATTCCGTGAGGGCAGGAACCTTGGCTATTTTGGCCCTCACTAAGATCTGGGATATAGGTTCTAAATGAAGATTTTTCAGTTATCGAATAATAGAACAAATGAATGAATGATGGTAGATTATAAATCATGCATTTTTTTCTACAGAGCCTAGAATGATTGGGCATTTCAATATATTAATGAGAAGAATGTATCAAAGAGAATACAGAGGCAATGAAATTAAAAGATCTTTTCCAGGTGGCATTTACAGTAGTCCCCCCTTATCTGCAGGGGATACATCCAAGACCCCCAGTGTATGCCTGAAACTGGATAGTACCGAACTCTATATATACTGCTTTTTTCCTTTACATACATATTTGAGGTGCGATAGCAAAATTAGCACGGATTTTTTTTTCCGTCTTCACAATTTCATGGAGAGAAGATTCATTCTTACTGTAGATCTTAGCAACCTCAGCATATGATTTTTTTCTTTCCTTATTAAGTAGAGAACTTGAACCTTTTCACTTAAAGGAAGCACTTGAAAGTTTGTCTTTGGCATATCCGACTGCCAGCATCACTACTCTTGTGCTTTGGGGCCATTATTAGGTAAAATAAGGGTTACTTGAACAGAAGCATTGAGATACCGCGACAGTCTATCTGATAACCGAGATGGCTACTAAGTGACTAACAGCGGGTACCATATACAGCGTGGATGTGATGGACAAAGGGGTGATTCACTTCCCCAGCGAGCAAGAGCAGAAGGGCAAGAGATTTCATCAGCTACTCAGAATGGGGGCATGCAATTTAAAACTTATGAATTGTTTATTTCTGGAATTTTCCATTTAATATTTTTAGACCAGGGTTGACCGCAGGTAGCTGAAATTGCTGAAAGCAAAACTGTGGATGAGGGGGGACTACTGGACTATAAGGCAATGATGATGCTCATTCTCCTTTCTTCTAGTGAAAAAACTAAAACACTTAACTCATGCATTTGAAGACTTCAGTAATATCTCAGAAGCCACAGTTCTCAAATGGCAGGACAAAGATCTAGTCAATAAGATTCAGAATGGTGCCCAACATTTGTGTTGTGATAAAGTCAAAATGCAATTCTAAAGCACATACAAAACATTCAACAACTCTTAGGCATCTAATAAAAGAGAAAACCTAAGAATAGGGTAAGCAGCAGGAAGGGATTCATAGATCCATGCAATGTTTGAGCTGGTGGGTACATTAGTGAGCCAATGTTCTAAACCTCACATTTTAAATAGCAGGGAATAGGCCCCTGAGGGAAATGGCCTGCCCAAGTTAATATAGATATTTATGGGTGCCTCTGGGAACTGTTGAGTACTATGGAATAGGTGGAACTCTAAAAGTAATTTATTTACATTGTACCAAAATAACCAGTAAATTCAGCTGTGCCAAAAAAAAATCACCATCATCATTGTCAGTTTGCCATGATGTAGACCAAACAGTCACTTGTTTTGGTAGAGCTCTGAATCAAGCTGAGTAGGAAAATGCTCCAAACACTCATGATTTTCTATCATAGTAAACAAGTCAGAGTGTGCACCGACAGTGAGAGCTGGACCATCTCATCACTCATATCTAATTATAGGAGTTATTGCAATCAAACAATTAAGGACGGACAGATTACTTCTTGAATAAATTTTTATTTCTTGGCCTTATTAAAAGAAAGAATACAATTTTAACCAATTCTATTTCTTAAATTATATTTTTTTCATTTTGATTTTTTAGAAGGATATTGTCATGTTGGAGCAATTACTATTTTTTAGAGACGTCTCTTAATTAGTAATAGAATTTAGGGCCTGGTATTCTGAGATTTAGGGAATTGTGTCCAGAAAAAGTATGCCAATTGTAACGTAATTAGTTGGCTGCAAAAAAATAAGATCTTCCAAATTGTTTTAGGAATCTGTCATTCCTATGGTGTGAATAAACCCAGACATAATGAAGTGGACTTGGTGAGTCAGAAGCCCTTCTCTCTCCACTTCATATTTATTCCATTTTTATAACAGCTTTTGGTTTAATTTAATACATTATTGTAGAAGAAAAGGTCCCTTAAACAGCTACAGAAAAGTGAGAAATATGTTCCTTTTAGTGTTTTTTTAAATGAAGCATTAAAAAGTAGAATATTTTAAAAATGATATTCAAATGATTTTTAATTACTACAAAGGCATTGAGATGTTAATGCACTTTATATAAAAGGGAAGGATACTATTCCATCCTTCCTTTTCTGCCATGAATTCCAACTCTAAGAAAATTATTTCTTTTGATCCACTCTGACAGCATGTAATAAAAGAACAATAAAACATATGGCTCAATTACCACTGCTTCTCATCAAGCATGAATTAATGAATATCAAATTATTATTAATTGTTTTTTCTGGCTCCCTCTCCATACGACAACAATTATACATTGCTGTATTTTGATAAGCATTTTGTGTTTAACACTTTGTGGACCAGTCTCTAAGAGGAACAGATGCTTGAAATCATTACACAGAAGAATAATTCTTTAAATTTATCAACATTTAGAAAATACATGATTATCTTTAAATCTCTCCAGTTTATGCCAGTTTTTCACAACTGCCTTAAGTTTCCCTAGAATTGCCTTTCTTCAAGAAGCAGTTGCTATGTGCGTATAAAATAGTTTATGAGTTCAATTTCTCAATTTTAATAATAATTCTAATTCCTCATATATGATTATTGAATTTTCAATTCTTTAAGAAAAAGCTCTTTAAAAATAAAAGCTATAGCTTGAGCAGTTAAGCAATTAAGTTAAGCAGCATGGCATAGAATATAATAAATTCCGATCACTATAATTGACGAAATCAATGTCAGTAAGTGATATTTATAGACACACCACAAAAAGATTCTTTGTAACTGATAGTTAATTTTATTTTTATAACCCATCTGTAAATATAAAGTGCTATGTAATATGAATAGATGTTACATGCTAAAGGACCCGTCTTTGCAGTTCATAACAGTTATTTCTCTTAGATTATTTCTATATCTAGATTTTGAAATGCATGCAAATAAAACTTAGCAAATTACAATATGTAAACTAGACATGTCATATGATTTTACCCATTACCCATAAATCCGTGTCTTTCTGTTTTTAAAACACATTGTATAAAAATTATGTCTGTGATCAACTGCAGGATGACACTAAGGTTAAATTGTTTAGATGTCCTATCTAGTTCAAAATGCTTAACAAACACACATTCAGATATGTTTCTAAAGAGCAAATAAAAACTTGTTTTAGAATCAGATAATTTTGAGAGCAGAAAGGGACCTTAGGAAACATTTTGGCCAACGCCTCTCATGTTACAGATAATGACACAGAGATCTGAAAAGTTTATGGGATTTTTTTGAGGTCCACACAACTTTATATGTTAACATCTTTTTGCTAAACTTCATAAGAAAATTTCCTTCAATATTTCTTTTGCACATAAAGAAAACATATCTTGCTTCCTTGACAGTTTGTCAGGATGTCAATAACATCCGTAAACCCAAATTCTTGGGGAAACAAAGGTGAGAAAATGAGGAACTTGTCTGTAATGGAAACCATAGCACACAGCCTAAATATGAAGCAGAGATGGACCTGGTTAAGGTTGACAATGCTCACTGCCGTCAGAAGCATCATTCCTTTCACATTGGTAATTGGAACCACTTGAATTTTTGATCACTAAATCTAGCTAGATACCAGATGGTTCCCTTTATGTATATGATCTTATTGAAGGCAATTAGATTATTTAGGCAATAGCAGAATTATTAATTCTATACAAGAGTCATTCTTTGGGTTAAAAGCTTTTCGAGTATATACTCTTAAAATAAAAATTTTACTTCCTTAATGAGTGCTTTTATCTTGATGTCCATGTGTCAGAATTCTTGAATCCACTTTGCTGAAAATTTTAAAGAAAATAGCAGTTAGATATACGAATTCAGTACAAAAATAAGCTTATAATTAAAATTTTTAAAAATAATTATTCATCCAAGGGTAATGGTGGATTAAGCATTTTACTTTTTCCTTCTCCTGCATTCATCCCCATGGCTTTTGGTCATGCTGTATATATGAAGCAGCGATGCCTAGTACTCATGGGATGCCTGAAAGTGATGTTTTGACAACTCATATGTATGATAAAAATGCAATGCCTATGGAGTGCACATAGACAGGGAGTAAGACACAAGGATTCTGAGTCTTTTGCTAAGCACATCTCCTAGGCCCTATCATGGACTTCTGGGAGACTGAAAGCTTAGAGCTGCCACTACGCACATCAAGGCCCTTGATATAATACTGGATCATGATAAGGCTGCTAAATTAGGAAGGAAACGGAACACGAGAACTGGCTGAGGAAAGCGGAAAATAGAAGGCAAAGTATGAATATAATTAGGTTTGTTCTTGTAATTGATTCTGTAGCCTGATGGAACGTGGGTTTCTCAATATTTTTCAGAGCATTTTCCAGATGTAGCCTCCCAGTACGTCATTAACATCACACATTTGTCATTAAATTTCGTATTCTGGATCCCATGTAAAAATCACAAACGTTCCTCTTTCATTCACCACACCAACAAGACATCAGGAGACTTGTCCTTTGCATGGTGCTGTTGACCAGCTCCCCGATATTGTCTTGATTATTCTATCTACTTACCACATTGAATTTAAAAATAAAATGTTGATACTGGCTTTAAAAACTAATCAAGTTTCATAGGACTTTATATTGCTAACTTCCTGTGCATTCTGCATATCTTTTAAATCAACTTTTAAACCTTTCATTCTAAGTTTATAGAAAGTAGGAGCTAAAAATGCATATTCTTAATGTTTTCTTCTCACATCATTTATGCTAATTAGGAGCCTAAATTATAATAATGTTGGTGTTAAACTCACAAAAAATACTTAGATGCCATATTTAATCCAGAATTTTTAGAATTAACTCTAAATTTTCCTTTTAAAAATAACATTAAAAGGCATTTAGCATAATAACCAAATTAGGTAAAAAAGTATATTCTAGTGCAAATGTAAAAGGTCATTTACAGAAATAGACTTCAATTTCAACAATTATTTGAGCAGAGAAGATCTATTTTGTTTGGAAAAAATGGAAAATTTTCTAAAATAAATGACTTCTTTGCTTAGTTGTGTCTATATCTGGTCTGATATGAGAAGAAAATATAAATGTTGACTGATCTTATACCATAACACTACCATAGTATAACTATCTGCAGCTGAATTCTAAACTAAATATAATTAATGAAATATTTTTTACTTTTCAAATCCTTTATTTTCAACAGTATTAAGTGCTCATTAATGTTAGTGATAGTTCCTTGCAGAGCTTAATACTCACCCACAACTTTAGAGTAGCAAGGTTCACAGTGTATTGTCTGTCTATAAATCCAAATGCTGTCACCTGCTTGTAGGTTTTCCAAAGGCCGTTTGCATATTTCACACTAAGGAAAAATCAATATATAAAGTTAACGTTATATATGAAGTCTAGATTCTTAGTGTAACATGATAGAAAAGCCCTTTCAATTCATTTGGTACCATCCTCCATAGCAACACTCAGATGAAGCCTCAAGAGAATCCACAGGGGAAGTGAGAGTGTATGTCTCTGTAATCCACATCCTAAACTTTTCACATAAATTCTCACAGCATCTCTCTATGGAGGTGTGCAATTCAGAGCATATCTACCACCGAAGTTTCTACTTGACTCACAATAGAGTAGATATAAATTTTCAAAAATTGGTTATGCCAAGGACAAGATCACCACTCGATATCTCAAACAAAAACATAAACCATATTTACTGTTTGCTTATTAAAGGAGAGCTATGCTGTCCGTGTATAGGCTCCTTAAGCAAAACAAAATTCTGATCTTACATAGGGTTTAGGGGAAAGTTTGTTTTGAGTTGTGTTGGTTACGGAGGCAGCAAAGAGTTGACCTCTGCCTTAGACATGTGTTCAATGGAGCCAATCCACTGCCCATTGGCTGACTTTCAAGCATGGGTCTTCACCGATTGGTTGGCTTTCAGAGGCAAGTTCACTGAAGCAAACTGTCATTGATCAATTCGACATGTTTAAACCAGTCCAGGTGATTCTATATTATCACGCTATAGAATAATCTGTCTTTTCCTAGGAGTGTGGGGACATTTTTATTCTCAGTTAGTAGTACTTCATAATTAAATTATAATTAAAGAAAACAGAAATAAGTCATCCAAAATATAATAAGTGGAAATTACTCCTATTTACAAAAGCAATAATCAGGAGAATTTTCATTTTAAAAAGATTTATGCATAATAATTTAAAATAAAGATCTATAGATTAACTTTTGTTTACTAAGTAAATTTTATTAACTAAAAGAAATGTTCATTTTCTCATAATTAAATAACTGTGCAATCTTCAGATAATATTTTATATAGAATTCTATATATTATGTACTAAAATTGGATTTTCTTTTTTTTTGCTCAAAATGAGGCATCATATTTCCAATTAGCCTGAAGCTAATTGGAGGAGAAGCAATCAGTTGTCAAAGTATTACCTCTATTTGACTGAATTAGATAATCTGACATCATAGAATGTCAGCACCAGAAAGGATCCACAGACTTAGGTAAATCCTTCTCAAACTGGCTCCCATTGGATCTATCCAAAGAGCTTTTCAAAATACCAATGCCTAGGAATCATCTCTGAGATTCTTGATTTATTGGGGCTGGTCCCAAGCATTCTATTTTTCTCCTAATCTCCCCAGATGATTATAATGTTCCACCAGGGTTGAAAACCAGTGGTCTAGTCAGCTACCTCACTTTACAGATGAGGAAACTGAGGCCAAGTTAGTTTAGGTGATTGTCCAAAATCATACAGTCTGTTAGTGGCAGAGTTAGAACTCAAACGAAGGGATTCAGATTCCCCGTTCTGTGCTCATCCAGTTACACCAAAAACTGCAATGTCGACCTAACCAACGTCATTGTGAGAAGTAAAAGAAATGGCATATGAAAACACAAACTGTGAAGCATTCCACTATGTAAGCTTTATTATTATTATACTAAGCCACAATTCATTATAATTAATCATGCTCTCAAAAGCAGACTGAGTTTCAACAACCGTTAAGCCCATCAGTCCTAATTTCATGATGTAAGGAGCTGCTAGCTTTCTTCCCAACAATTTCTTTTCCTTTTTAGATTTCATTATATATTTTATGTAATGCATGATTTATTAAAATGTTGCAAAAACTTTTATAAAGAGAACAAGTGTTTATCTTTTTACAGATTTAAATCTCTAAAGTAAGAGTAATAAATATGTCAGTAATCAACTCTAAGCCTAAAGCCAAGATAGTAATTATAAACCTTTGAGGTTTAGGTTGCAGAACTCTGAGAAATATTTAAACAGTACATTATTAATGTGGATGATAGTGTTTCTGAAAGCTTTAACTTCATCCCATGTATTTCATCAAATAATTATTTTTATTCCAGTCATTTTGCAATTTTATGTTTAGTTAAATGCAATAAACATATCCTTACCTTGAAGCAAGTGGAATGGCAGCAAATTTGTAATTCATCTAAAATCATTTTAGTTTCTATGCCCAAGGGTTTTCGGCAGTAAGTGCACATATCTCTTTCAATGACAGACCTATAGAGATGTAAGCAATTAAAAATAAATTTGTCATTATGCAAAAGACAGATGTGTTCCCCACAAAGTCAGGTAGAAATGATATGTTAACTTTGTTGATACTTTAGGAAATTGCATAAAAATCAAGGAAAGTTCAAGGTTTACTTATTCTATTGATAGAATTGATTCTTCTAGTTACCTCAAAATGATATCAAAGAATTAACATGAAGAAAGTCTCAAATTATTAATTCATTAGCAATCAAGAGTGCATCTGGGCAGGGCAAAGATGTTCACAGTATCCTAATTGAACTAGGTCATAAGTACCCCTTGAAGCTAGAAGAGGGTTTTGAATTATTAATTTACATATATCATGGAAAAATTATGCTGTAGATTAATGTAAAATTTTAACTCTCAAAACACTCAACAGGACAAAAATAGAAATCCATTCTAGAGTGTGCTGGTAAATTTATAAATGATGGGTCTGTAGTACCCTAGACTCTAGGGTCCAGGGTCACCAAAATGCTCCCCTAGGACACTTCACTTGGTGTCATTGTAAGATTCAGAATACCGTGCTGCCTTTTAAGACAAAATTTTATATTCTCCAAAAAGATGTAATCTACCACAAATTTGATGGGGAAAAAAGAGTTTTGTTATTTATTTTGGAAAAATACTATTCAATACTAAAAGAATTGTAGATGTGATCAGCAGAGTCCAAAATACCTTGGGTCACACCAGAGCCTTAAGAAAGGCCAATAAATGTGTGATTCTTTTTCTTTTGGAAAGTCTTTGGCAAAGTGTCTTAAATAGCACCTTGCAGAATTTACTAGTTTCAGGGTGTTAGCATGCAGGTTTGAAATTTCCAGAGGAGGATACATAATGGGGTAGTGATATAAAAATAGCTAATACTTGTATAGTGCTAATATGCTTAATATGTGCAGTGTATTTTTCCATGCACTTTACTTGTATAAACTCATTTATTCTTCACATCTCTGAAAAGCAGGTATTATTATTTTTATCATCATTTTATAGAAGAGGAAACTGAGGCACAGAAGGGTAAGTAATTTGCTCCTATCATGCAGCCAGTGAGTGGCAGAGGCAGGATTTGAATGAAGGCAGCGTGGCCCCAGAGTCCCTGTGCTACCTCTGGGCCTGCCCACGAGGTTTATAGGGCTCACAGTGCTGAGATGAACTAATCAATGCCCAGGAACCACGATCCTAACATTCAGCCCAGGACTAGAAGCAGAGAGGAGGAAAAATGGAAAGGAGGACGAGGTGGGAGAGGAAAGGGGTTAGAGAAGATAAGCCCTGTCTGGTTTTATACTTTCAGTCATTCTAGTAAAGATTTCCTAACCCTTATGTACATAAATAAATATTTTCCTCTTTCAATTAACTCTATAGTTACTTGCTTATATATTCCTGGCAAATATTTTCCTACAGATAATTCATATATATACATATATGACTACATATACGAATATATATACATATGTGCACACACACTTAAATTCCCACGTAAGACCATAAGCACTTCAAGAGTAGAAAACAGGTGCGCTCTATCATTCTTCCACTCCAGAGGCCCTGAGCTAGGAGTTGCAATATGAAGAAGAGTGAGACAGTCTCCTCCAATAAGAAGCTTTCTTTCCACTAGGCTTCTCATTGGATTCAATGATCGCAGCATATTATGGATATGTAGAAAGAGTTAGGAGAGCACAGCCAAGGGAGCAACTAGTCTCCGGGGTGAAGTAAGGAAAGCCTTGTCAGAAAAAGTGCCATGTGAGTTAAACTTGAAGACGAGGGAGCTCTCAAGGTGAGCCTAGTGAGGTGGGGAAGGGCATAATGGAGCAATTCTGAGCAGAGAGAATAGGACGTGTCAAGCTGCTACACAATGAGGGTGTCTGGAGTGATTGATTGACCACCAGTCAATAATCAGCAGCAGCAGGTTTGAAGGCCCATAAATAATGTGCAAAGGAATTTAGTCTTTATCTTATAAAGTAGGAAGCCATTTTAAATGAGATTAACATGCTTAGATAAGAACTGTGGGGACATAGCTAATTTCATGCAATAATCAACAGAAAAAGTTGCTTGAGTGACTGGTCTTATGGCGAATTGACTTTTGCTCTGATGACTAAGTAAAATTTCAAGGACCGCTTGAGGAACAGAACTGAAATGTTTCATATTAAGAGCAATACTTTTATGAAGAATGTTTTCTTTCCTTAAATTAACAATAAAAATATGAGCCCAGAGAGAGCTCTGACGTTGGTATTGTCCTTATCAAGATCACACTGTTAGTCAAAGATCTTTTCAAAGTATTATGAAAAACCTAGCTCTGGGGTTTTTTGTTTTGTTTTGTTTTTTGTTATCTAGACAGTATTTGTAGTTCTAATGCTTGTGTAGATGACTTCACTCCTCAAAGAGGTGTGACTTAAAGGCAAGACACAGAAAAGGATTGGTAACGGGCAAGGTCTTATAAAAGTGACTGAAAGAGGACATAATTTTGATGCCTAGTCCATTGATGTTAGCAAAGGGGACATAGGTTCATTTTTTTTCAAAACATTTATTGAGTACTTGTTACTGAGTACTGTGTTACAGGCTGAGGCTGTGGATAAAAATAGGATATGTCCTTACCCTCAGTGAGTCATATTTCCAGCCCTGCTGTAGAAAAACATCATCAGTAGAGTGTTGGGCATTTGCATTATAGCTGGTTTCCAGTGGTCGGGTTGAAATGCTAATTATTTATTTTCATTTCCTCCACTGGAAATCTGCAGGCCACACTCTCTTGTGCGTGTCATCTATCTGCTCCACTGAACATTAAATGGTAAAAGAGGATCACCAACAGCAAAAGCCTGGGATCAGTTTACCAGGACTAAATTGAACTCATCGTAACCCCCCTCCTGGGAACTGAGCCGTGGGCCCAGAGTGGGTCATAGTAGCACATCCAGGCAGCTGTTTGTAAGGTGAGCTGGCCTCAGAAAACCGCAAGGAGGGGGTACTGTGGGCGCAGTCTAGTGCTGCACGAAACCTAGATGCTGATAATGTGGCAGTAGTAGGGACACCTGGGAATCATCAACAGCAGAGGGGCTGGCCTGGGAGGCACCTGTAAGGCACGGAAAGCTCTATTGGAATAAAGTGCATCAATATCAAACAGCAGCAACAGTCAGGAGGCCAAGGAACAAATTCCTGGATGCAGAGGTTGTTGTACTTTGTTCCATTCATACACATATATAACAATCACCTTCAGGTGGGCCATCTCCAAGCACAACGGACAACCAGAATACACATATATAAAGTTGGCTCTCCAGATTCGCGGGTTCGGCATCTGCCGATTCAACCAACTGCAGATGGAAAGGCCTACGATGCTTGTGTCTGTACGGAACATGTACAGACTTTTTTTCTTGTCATTATTCCCTAAACAATACAATATAACAACTATTTACATAGCATTTACATTGTACTAGGTATTGTAAGTAATCTAGAAATGATTTAAAGTACACAGGAGGATGTGTGTAACTTAGATGCAAATACTACACCATTTTATATACGGGACTCAAGCATCTGTGGATTTTGGTATCTGTGGGGGTCCTGGAACCAATCCCCCTGTAGATACAGAGGGAAGACTGTAAAGTATGTATCAGTGTGTATATATATATATATATATATACACACACATATATATACTTTTATGTATGGAAATATAGACACTCACCTATCTGAAGTCGAATAAACAGTTTGTATGTATTTTCCGGAGAAATTCTCCTGATATCCATCCTTTGGTGATTTACTAGAAACAAACACATATGGACATGTGATAACTGGGCTATTTCCCTAGTGTTGATGTACATACCTCTAGGCAGGTAAGGAAGCATACACACCTCCTCATGCAGCCTTATTACTCTTCTTTGTGATGTTCCAAGCCAGGACAATGTACCAACACCTTTTTTTTTTTTTAATCTAGAGAAGTATTGATACACAAGCCACCTCCAGGTTGACATAAATTGACATATCTACCAATGTACACAGAGAATGGGGCATGGAGTGCAGCAATAGGGTGAGCAGGAAAAGAAGTTATCATTTTTCATGAAATTTATACTTGCACCTCCCTCATTTATTTACTGAAAGAAAGGTGTATGTAATCCAACATAGATAAAGGAAATACATACACAAAGCACAAGCCAATGCAAGCACCTACAGACATGTACCAGTCACACAGAGAAATACTCTTGAACTTTTAGAGAAAGCTATAGAAATTTTTATTTTTACTTGAAAACATCCAAGAAAGAATAGTTTAGAATGAAAGCAAAAAATCCGTAATTTTTAAAAGTCCTCTGTGTTCCGTTTCTTAGATTTCTCCAGTTTGTAAACCTCTCTCTTTCCTGGAGACAAATGAAATCTGCAACACACAACCAGCTGGCTGCTCATAATTGCTTCCCAAGTATTAATGCTACCTGTGAGTGTATCAGGACTGGAAGCAATATGTTCCTATTATTTCATACAGGGAGTGATACCTCCACAGCCCTACCCTGGGATTTTTTAAGGAGAAATCTCTCTCTCCCTCCAAACTGCCCATAGGCAGACTGCTGGCAGAAATAGAATCTACTCTATAGAACAGATAACTCACAATGCTAAATAAGAGTTTGCATGTATTTACATGTGGTACATATATCATTACTCCCATTTTATTGACGAGGAAACTGAGATTTGAAGAGGTTAAGTAGCTTTGCCAGGACCACATGGCCGGTAAATGACAAACAAAGATTCAATCCCAAGTCTGATTCGAGGGCGTCTATACCGTACCGCACTGTCAGTGTAGATTTTAGGGAGAATTGGATTAAGCAGAAAAATCAAATTTGAGGTTGCATTTTACAAGGTAAATTATGTGTGGGATGAGAAACCTTTTTGGGATGGCACTCCTGTCATGTTCTGTATTTCCTAGAGCCTCCTCCCCACAGAAATGCTTTCCAGATACTCTGCTCTTTGGCCTCTTTGAAATGGGCTCTGATTAACATAAGTGTCACGTATATTTGTATTTGCATGCCCACCGTTACGTTACCCCACAATTAGGCTGATTCTTGTTTTTATACTCCTTGAAAATCGAATGGACTGTGAATCCCTGACCTGGGTTCACACTTCCCTCAACATCCATCAAACCAAACAGCCGATTCTGTGGGACATCAGTTCCCTGTAATATGGGCCAGAGTATATCTACTAAAAGTTATACCTCTTATTTCAGATTAGAGGTAAACAATAATAGATAGAACCTTTTAATTAAAGTGTGACCCCCAAATTAGCATAGGAATATCTGTGCAACTCTATAAAGCTTATTATAAACATATAGTCAAATATGTGAGACCTTTCAAATGGCTCTTTGTATCCTATTATGTATGCATGTGCTATATTAAAATACTATTTAGTCATCCAATGACTTTTTATGATTATTTGACAATTACTTAATATTGGAAACGTTATAAAGAGTTATGTACCTAGAACTCAATATACTCTTTTTTTTTAATTTTTTGTTTATTGCAGTAACATTGGTTTATAACATTGTATAAATTTCAGGTGTACATCATTATACTTCTATTTCTGCATAGATTACATCATGTTCACCACCCAAATACTAATTACAACCCATCACCACACACATGTGCCAAATTATCCCTTTCACCCTCCTCCCTCCCCCCTTCCTCTCTGGTAACCGCCAATCCAATCTCTGTCTCTATGTGTTTGTTTATTGTTGTTATTATCTACTACTTAATTAAGGAAATCATACGGTATTTGACCTTCTCCCTCAATATACTCTTAAATGGACTTCTATGTGAAAAAAGCAAGCATACTCTAAAATAATAGCATTTCTTCTTAAACATAGATCATTTCAAAATTATAAAATAAATATAGCAAAATATCTAAAATAAATTTCCAGTACCTGTTCTCCATGTATGTCATTGTGTACACAAGAGTATCCTTTGGTCCTGCGTGCCTGGTTTTAGCACTGGAGCTGCAATACAAACCATCTTACTTCATGTTTAAAGTTCATTTACAAGGATAATCAAAACAACAAGGCTATTATCCAATCCAATGCAAAAAATAATCCTCATCTATTCCTTCTAAACTATAACCTTTGAAATATAAATGTTAAAGTGGTATTAATCCACTTTTGCAAAATTTCTTTATGACTTCCATTTTGTTCTTAACTTCCACGGTCTTGGCCTACTTAATAATAGAATACTATTATAAAAATCGGTCACTCAGTAAATGTGTTGAAGGCATGAAGTTTATTTTGAATATTGGTGTAATATGTTTTAGTGTCTGTTTCCCTCATGTCCCGTTCATATTTCCAATCCATAACTTCCCCCACAAACCTCAAAGAAAACCTTAACCAACATGATAACATCTGATTTAACGAAACTTTTAAATCTACCTAAAGAATGCTAACACAATGTCACAATCATGCTTTTAAAAAAAAAAAAATTGTAGACTTTTTAGGGAAAAATCACATTTTACACTTTCCTATCCAGATGTCACAATTTACCAATGACTAAGTTGCTAACTCAACACCTTTGTGTAAGCCTGTTTAGCCACTGATAAAATTAGAAATTTCTGCATTTCAAAGGAAGGGTCAGGTTGTATATGGGATGGTTTTTAAAAACAGAAGGAGAATAATCCTGTCATTTGTTTTATAATTGATCACAGTACCTGAGATTCTTCCTGGCTTCGTAAGAATAGGCAGGGGTTCCAGCGGACTGGTGGTTTAAAGCATCAGTAGATCCATTGACTTGGCTGTCTAGCCTGAGAAAGCAAACGCAAATATTTGGCACTTAAAAATTAGGCCACTTAGAAGCTTTTTGTTTTATTAAAATTCTGTTCAATTAACATTTTTTTTTTACAGTGAACCTCTTTATGTTTGCCTGGTTTCTGCACAGATAGACAAATAGAATACGTATACTATTTTATGCCTCCACAGAGACCACTGTCTTACCTTTAAGAATAGTCTAAGGGTGTGTGTCACTGTATCTAACCGTAGGTTAAAATACCTTTTTGTCAAAGGCAGGAACCATCTGAAATTGGTTCCAGTAACATTTTCACAGCAGCAGTGCCATTTTAGAAAGCTCCTCATGTACAATATTTGTTGTTAGTGCAATGGAGTTGATTCCAACTCCTAGCGACCTTGTGGACAGCAGAGCAGAACCCTGCCTGGTCTTTTTGTGCCATCATCTCACTTTCAGCACTATATCAGACAATGCTCTGCTGCTATTCACAGGGTTTTCATGGCCAGTTTTTTCAGAAGTGGGTGCCCAGGTCCTTCTTCCTGCTCTATCTTAGTCCGAAACCTCCACTGTAACCTGTCCACCATGGGTGACCCTGCTGGTATTTGAAATACCGGTGGCATAGCTTTCAGCATCACAGCAACACACAGCCACCACGGTATGACAACTGACAGACGGGTGTTGTGGTTCCCTGACTGGGAAACAAACCTGGGCCACATTGATGCAAGTGCTAAATCTTAACCACAAGACCACCACATGTATAATATATCTGAGAGTTTACCAATTTAATGAAAATTATCCTGGGGTTATTTTGAGAAATTCCAGTTTCCATTTTATTTTTAATGGAAAGCAATATCGCGAAGATTACAGAACTTTGACCTATATTCCTTCTAATCTAAAAACTATGCTTAACAAAGTGTAGGCATATTTGCTTTTTCCTATAAAACAGGAACATTTTAATGCAGGAATAGTGAAAGTTTAGCTCCTTTTCCTCCTCCATGTTAGTAAACTCTGATATAGGAGAGACATGAAAACCAAGAGCAGAGTTTAAATCTTAATCACGACATCATTGTCAAACGGGCTGTTCCTTCCATTTCCAGATAGCTCTAAAAGAAGAGGAAAACCTTTGTTCACATATTATCGTCTCTGGCATGCATGCAAAAAATCGTCTTCTAGTTTTAAGTCAGATGTTTCACAAAACATACAACTGAGTTAAAATAACACTAAGTAATGAGAATGTGGAATTAATATTATTAGAAGATTTTCTAATGTGATTATTAAAATAGGTCATTCCAGGAATAGTGAACCTAGCTAGGAATAGTTTGGAAATATCCAAATCATATAATATACAATACAAAACCCAATTTTAACAAATAGGCAGCTTCAAAGGATAAAGGTTGCTAGTGAGTTTGAAATGTGTTAGCATTGTCCTCAGCAACATAAAATCAAATATCACCAGTTTGCAAAATCTGCAAATAGGAAAGGGAAATAATTTGCAAACAGTACTGTTATGGACCAAATTGTGTCCTCCTAAAGTTCATATCTTGAAACTATAACTCCCAATGTGATTTAGAGACAGGGATTATAAGGAGATAATAAAAGTTAAGTGAGGTCCCAAGGGTAGAGCCTTAATCCCACTGGACCAATGTCCTTATAAGAAGAGGAAGAGATACCAGATCTCTCTCACTATGTGTGTGCATACACAGAGGAAAGGTCATGTGAGGACACAGTAAGAAGGCAGCCATCTGCAAGCCAAAAAGAGAGGCTCACCAAAAAACCAACCCTGATAGTACCTTGATATTGAACTTCAGCCTCTAGAACTGTGAGGAAATAAATTTCTGTTGTTTAAGCCACCGAGTCTGTAATAGTTTGTTGTGGCAGCCAGAACTAATACAAATAGGATTTCCTAGTTGTGTTTATAATGAGATTAATGACAATGTCTTCATGAAAGGTTTAATTTTTACGATTGTGAATAAAAACCAAATGTCAGTAAATAAATTTGGAGTGTAGAACAACAAACTCTTTGTTGTTGGATTTTGCTCCTCAAGTAGGTTTGGAGAATGATCAGTCTAAAAAAATAGACCTTTTATTTTGGAATAATTTTAAATGTATAGAAAAATTGCAAAGATAGTACACAGAATCCCTGTATACCCCTCACCTAGCTTCTCCTAATGCTAATATCTTATAAAACCACAGTACATTTGACAAAACTAAGGAATTAACATTGGTACAGTACTATTCACTAAACTACAGACTTCATTTGTATTTCATCAGTTTTTCCACTGATGTCCTTTCTCAGTTCCAGAGTCCAAAATCAGGATACCACCTCCACATAATCGTCATGTCTCTTTAGTCTCCTAGAGTCTGTGATAGTTGCCAAGTCTTTCTTTGTTTTTCATGAGAAGGCCATAGATTTTACAAAGGAAATCCTATCTTGATGCCAATAAGTAACACTAATTTTTTATTATTTAGAACCATAGAAATAATTAGTCAATACTTTGGCAACAGGTAGAATAACCTGTAGTGCTTTTTAAAATGCTGCGGGGTCCCGCATCTAGATATTCTGATTTAATTGGTTTGAGCTATAGCTTGGGCACTGGGATTCTTTTAAACCTACCCAGTGAGTCTCACAGGCAAGTCAAGGTTGAGAACCACTACCTTAGAGGTTCAGCAGTTCAACATATTACCCAAATGAGCACTGGTTATCAAAATGTGGTCCCTGGAGCAGTAGGTGATTCCGATGCATGCTAGAGTTTGGGAACCAGTGCAAAAGAGGACTCTCTGCGAAAGTGGTCCCTTCAGACATGTTGAATAATATTCGTAAAGGAGAACTGATGACTCACAATGTTTGTCACTTGACAGCTTTATTATTAAGAAGTTATCTTTCATTGAAACAAATTGCTGAATTGTGTCTTCCAGTCAATGGTCATAGTTTTGTTTCTTAATTAAATATTGACTATAAAATATAAACCCAAACATTGTGTTGAAGCTTACAGAATTCCGGTTGGAATTACACTTGAGAAAATGTGTCCTGCAGTGAAAATTCACCTTGAAAATTTACCTATCTGGAACACTCACACACTGCTAGTGAGAATATCAAATGGTACAGCTGATTTGAAAAATAGTCTGGCATTTCCTCAAATGGTTAAACACAGAGTTACTTACAATCCAGCAATTCCACTCCTAGGTATATACCCAAGAGAAATGAAAATATACTCCACACAAAAACTTATATACGAATGTTCATAGCATCATTGTTCACAATAGTGGGGACAATCCAAATGTCCATCAATTGATGAATATATAAACAAAATGCTGTATATCCACACAATGGATTATTATATGGCAATAAAAAGAAATGAAGTACTGATACAGGCTACAATATAGATGAATCTTGAAAACATTATCCTAAGTGAAAGAAGCCAGTCACAAAGAACCACATATTGCATGATTCCATTTATATGAAATGTCCAGAATAGGCAATTCATAGACAGAAAGTAGATTAGTAGTCACCTAGGGCTGAGGGGTTGAGGGAAAATGATGTATGACTGCTAATGGCTATTGGGTTTCTTTTTGAGGTGATGAAAATATCCTAAAATTGATTGTGGTAATTGTTGCACAACTCTGTGAATATACTAATTAGAAAACATATTTTCTTGGGCATCTAATTACTATACAAAGTGAATACATTCATAAAGTGAATCAAGTCTGTTTAGCAGATTGGCCCAAGACTCTTATTTAGATTTCCATTGTCTTATTAACTTAACCTTAGCAACCTGAGATTAAACAGCATAAAACAATTTCAACTGATAAACACCTACATCACTGCAAACTTTATAAATCTCTTTTGCATAAAAAATAAAAGCTTATTAAGAGCTTACCATTTTGTACCATATGCATTAGAGTTTACTTCTACAAAACTGTCAAGGTCTTGAGCTCTTGTAAAAATTACAGATTTTAAATATATAAAAAGAAGTACTCTACTGTAGAAAAATAGAGATGCCAGAACACTTGGGTTCATTCCACCTCTCTAATATACTAACCTAATTTACTAACCTGATCAAGTCTCACTCTCTGATCCTCCATTTTCTTTCTGTTAATTATTTACCCATTTTGAAAGTAACGTAAACTTTCCTTTCTGTAGCCAGAATACATAGATACAAAAATAGGGGCCAGAGATTTCTTCTTTTCTCACTGTATTTCAAGTGAAAATTTTCATTATAATTGTTCTGCTGGTGTTTAGGCAGTGGTTACATTTTCCATTTAATTTGTAAATAGCAGGACCACAAGAAATCATACTATACAGGATTATGACAGAAGTGAAGGAGAATAAATATCACCTGGAAACCGAACTCAGGCATCAACAAATGGTTTTGTGGTGGTAGTAAAGCCTGTGAATGTAGTAACTGAATGTGATGATCACCATCCCACTGGGGAGAGAGTGGGTGCTTTTGTGAACGTCTTTGTGACAGTTGGATTACATCAGGCAGGAGGCACAGATGACATTGCAGGAATGAAAAGCAGAGCATGTGCAGTTTATAGTCAGCCATGGTGTTTTCCATCTACACACCTTCCATGCAGATGGCCACACCCACGCTGCCTTGCTAAAGGAGGCCAGACAGACCACGGAAAACTAGAGTAAGCTGAAGTTATAAGTAAGCAGAAACTGGGAGGCAACAAAAGTTCTTGGTTATCAAACAGATAAAGAGTAGAGAATAAGGAAGCCAATACGTAGAGGGAGGAGCAGGAGAAAGATAAGCAGAAGCCAACACTCAGAAAGTAGCTGAGTTATATTAATGGCAAAGAACTAGGGTTAATGTCCAGGGATCCCTGATGGAATGTCCTCTGGTTAAGAAGGACCAACGTGCCAGTTCAGGCCTCTATGAAGCCTGGCCATGGTACCATTCTTGCTCTTGAATTTCGATGAAATTCCATTTCCTCATTAATCCTTCCAATAAAACTCCATTTCATGAGCAAGTCCAAATGAATCTGGAGCTCCTCTCAAATCATAAGTTCCTTAATTATACTTAACCACTTGTAATTTTTTTTACCTTGATCACTTCCAAATAATATTTGAATGAGACTGGTTAATCATAAGCCCCATCCCATCCCAAAATAGTGGATGTTTTCACAAGGTAAATTGATCTTATTGAAAATTTATCCTTCCTCATTCTATCAAAGTCTTGGTTGGGGTCACAAAAAAGGAAAGCAGAAGATGATTTGGGGAATTATGGGAACAGAAAGAAACTATGAATTGTGAGATGCAAGAGCCTTTTCTAGACATTATGAAAATGAAAAACAACAGAAAAACAGTGAGCCAACTCATTTCCTGCTTTTCCACTCTCTGCAGACAACATCGACAGTATCATTTCTTTAGATTAAAAAAAAATTCTTTAAACAGAAAAGGCAGCTGCATCTTAGGAAGGTAAAAAATAGGAACATATTGTTTTTAGGGTCCCTCCATCTGTTGGGGAAAAATTGCTAAACATGGAAGAATTTCTTAATTCTTTCTTAATTTAAACAGTCTGTAACAACAATGAAGTATAGCTTCTATTCTAACCTTCCCTGTAAAAACAACCAAGGTACCACAGTTTTAAAGCCATTGTACTCTGTGGTGTAAAGAAATGTCAACATGAGATCCCGTTTTGTGGCTGTGATGAATTTGTGCATTCTTTTAGCACTCGGTATCCAAGGACGAGATTCCCAGAGTGCTTTCTGCACCGCTTAAAACCTACCAAGCAACAGTAAGTAAAAATAAATCTTCACAGCCCCAGTGCAGAGCTCTGAATTTCCATGATGCCTTTCACACTAAGAAGTGGAGCAGCAGACCCTTAGTCAGAAATGCTAAGAGAATTCAAATTTTGTTAACTTTTTTCTATGTCAGCTATTAAGCACACTGTACATTGTTTTTTTTATTTAGAAAGTATTTATATTTAAATACCATAATACAGTTTAACTTCTCAGAAAATCTTCCAAGATTATACAATTTATGTAGGCTCATATGGAATTCATAAGAAAAAAGTAAATTATAATAAGTCCTACCTTCCATTCTTATTTTTAGAATTGGAATTTACTTCAATTAACTTTTCCAGGTCTTGGTCTCTATAGAAAAAAAATATATATGTATATATATACACACACACACATATTAACTTAGTTAATATATAATTTTAGGAAATCAAATATTAATATAAAATTTTTAAAAATTAGTACATAATCTTAGACACAGTCATTTGTGGTCTATAAGGATATGGGACATTGAAAGTCTGACATCCAACTATTTAATCTATACAACTCAAGTATGAGAGCATGGATTATGTTGCGAGAGAGAAATAAAAAAATGAATTTTTTGGAAGGTTTGAAAAATCTGGTCTGAAAAGAAACAACTGTTTAATATTCACATTCAGCTAACATGAATGAGTACTACCTTTGTGTCACAAAGTACTAGCTGTGTATTTCCACATGGATTATCTCATTCAGATCTCACAAAATCCTGCAGGGCAGCATTTGGGGCTCAGAAAGGTTAAATGAATTTTCCAAGGTCAATTAACAAATTTGTAAAAGAGTCAAGATTGGAGGCCGAGCCACCTGCCCATCTGAAATCAATTCTTAGATATTTAATTAGAAACTTCATTCTGGCTTTTTGGATCACAGACACCTGAGAAGTCAACCCAAAATTTGAAGGAACGTTTCATAATGTGGAGGATAAATGGCACAATTGGATTCTTAAATCTTGGGCTGTGGTAATGGTTTGACACACTCTCACGAGATACAATGTTCTCTGGCATGTGATTTATATATTTGCTATAACACTGGTAGATCTTGATATATTTTTCACGACTTTGGAAGGGCCTCTGTCATGAACCCTATTGGTTAGCAGCATTGTTTAGAGTCAGAACAACGAAGCCATCTCTTCCCCTCCTTCCTTGGGCAAGCTAATCAACCTCTCTAAGCTTCATTGTGTAAACCAGGATAATAACATCTAATCTCATAAGATTGTGGTGAGAATGAATGAGTTAATGTAAATAAAATTTGTGGCACGATGACTCCAATTGTGTGTGAACTGAGTAAGCATAAATAAATTATGGTTAGTAGAAGTGCAGTGACACAGCAGTAGGCATGATTGATTCCAAAATTTTGAGGGACAACCTTTTCATTTTTATTTCTGCTCTAACTTTTTACATCTTTGGAACTAACTCCAGTTTTCAGAATTCTCCCTTCTCATGGTCCTGAATAGTGGATTTAGATAAGTTTATTATACTTGGAATCAGTAATATGGACTCGCACTCACAAAATTAATATTGATAAAGATGAAAAATAATGTTAAAAGTTCTCATATTTATGTGGAATGAGATTTAATACTCTCTTTATATAACATCCAAACCATCAATAATTGATAAATTTGCAAATTAGGCAGCATTCCATAGCTACACTTAAACCTCACATTTAAAATACTAGCTATGGGCCGGCCCCGTGGCTTAGTGGCTAAGTGCGTGAGCTCTGCTACTGGCAGCCCGGGTTCGGATCCCAGGCGTGCACTGACGCACCGCTTCTCCAGCCATGCTGAGGCCGCGTCCCACGTACAGCAACTAGAAGGATGTGCAACTACGACATACAACTATCTACTGGGGCTTTGGGGAGAAAAAAGAGGAGGATTGGCAATAGATGTTAGCTCAGAGCCGGTCTTCCTCAGCAAAAAAAAAGGGGAGGATTAGCACGGATGTTAGCTCAGGGCTGGTCTTCTTCACAAAAATAAATAAATAAATAAAATAAAATAAAATACTAGCTACATATTTTTGAAAATGTAAAAATTAGTTAAATTATTTTTGTTACAGTAGAAAACATGCCAATTAATATATTGAAGAAGTACAGCATTTCAGAAGTAGCTCAGAAGTATCAGAATCATTTGATTCTTCAGTCTGAATGATATAGAATTCAAAACTGACTTTCTCAAGATAACTGTTAGAACTGAGTGAGGGAACCTCCCAGCTTGCATCCTTCAAATTTAGAAATGGAAACCGACGGCTTTGCAGTTGCCTAACCCCTGACGGTCCTTCACTAATTACTCAAGCCACCTTCTTGGCCTCAGGGGCCACCGTACTATCTTAATAGCCTAGGCATTAAGTGATCCTCCCCTTCACATTTTAAGGTAATATTTTATTAAATATTTGGGAATAATAGAATAAAATTAAGTGAAGTATCATGGTATTCCATAATCCAGTTTCCTAGGAATGCCAAACTGGGATGGTTGGCAGTGGTAAATAGCGAGAGATCACCAGGAACTATGAATCTTGGGGAATTAGAATTTTGCCCCAGGAAGTGATTCTTTCTGCACTGCTAACCTGGGATGAACTGAGGACCTTTTTTTTTAAGGAAACTAGTGATTTTCATTATGACTTGAGAGTAGAGTCACATTAGCATGGCCTTGCACGTAGTAGCTTCTCCAAAAATACTCATGGAGTTAAATTAATTTAAATTCTCTTTTTCTCATTCTCTGGGGGAAATCTATTTACCTTACCTATCTCTGGGAAAAGTCATTGAAGGGGACCCAAAGGAAAGAGAATAGACCACGAACCTTTAAGGCAGTCAGCTCTGCCCACATTTAGGTACATAGTGTACACCATGACCACGTAGAAAAAGATCAGTAAAGCCAGTGATGGACATTTCACCTCCATTTGTGTCAATCACCCAGAACCTGCCTTACTTCACCCCTGAATTACACATATTTCTTTCCTTTTTTTCATAGCTCTCAACCCTGGCTTTGTTTCCTTATTTTGGGATGTTGTTCTGGGTCCAATTGTGCCCCCCTCCCCCCAAATTCATATGTTGAAGTTCTAACACCAGTAAGTCAGAATGTGACTTTATTTGGAGATAGGGTCTTTATAGAGTTAATCAAGTTCAAACGAGGTCATTAAGGTGGGCCCTAATCTAATATGACTGGTGTTTTTATAAGAAGAGGAAATTTGGACTCAGACACACACAGATAGAAGACAATGTGAAGACACAGGGTGAAGACAGCCCTCTACAAGCCAAGGAGAGAGGCCTGGAATAGGTCTTTCCCTCTCAGCCTTCAGAAGGAACCAATGCTACTGCCATCTTGATCTTGGACTTCTAGGCTCCAGAGCTATAAGAAAATAAATTTTTGTTTTCAGCCACCCAGTCTGTGGCACTTTGTTATGGCAGCCATAGCAAACTAATATAGATCTGCTTCTGCCCTCACAACATGATTATGTTTAGTTTCTCAGCCTAATACTGGACATCCTCACTTCCTCCGGCACTTTCCGCCCTTAGCTGAGATACTGCATCTTTGCACTGCCTACAACTGTTCCCTTTTCCCCACCCAGTACCCAAGCCTTTTTGGGACACTAGCTATTATGAGGGAGAGCGGTAATGGGTATGGACATGAGGAAGAAGAAACCAGAATCTTACAAATCCAACAACTACGAATAGATAACTCAAAATTGGATCTATGCATGCCTTCAAAGAAGCAGACTCCCAGAGTGGTATAATGGCAAATCATCGAATAAACCATTTTATTAGTGGTTCCATAGAATTTTTGTTGTTTTTATTAAACAGTATCACCTATCAGGTTTGGTAGAGTGCATTATAAGATTTTAATCTGAATAATCTATACTAATATTTAAAGCAAAATAAAAAGTTCCAGATTTGGTTGTTCATCTTGCTTGATGTCATCAGCTAGATTTGAAGATCCACTAAAAGAAGTCAGATTGCTCATAAACTTCCCAAGTTGAAAGAGGTAAAAATAAATTTCATTCTTTAATTAAGACCACATCTATTACATCGTGTTTTTTACAATGTGGTAGAAGATGAAGAGCTGTGAATCAAAGTGTGAAAAACAGATTTTTATAGAAGCACAGCCAAATACTGCAGGGTCGAGCAAAGGCTTGACTCCAAACCCTTTTCACGGCAATTGCAGTAGGAGGAAGACCTTATAATTTCGTACATTTATGAGCAGTTGGAATAACTCCAAGAAAAATCACCAATTCTCTGTAGATACAGTGAGAAATGCCAAAAGAAATTGTTGTTAACTATTGCAACTAAAAATGTTTTTTTAATGTAGATTTCAAAATGTTTGGGAGAAAATATGTGTTAACTGTTAGGTAGAGTCATAGCATAAATTTTGAACATAAGCATTTACCCATGTTATAATAATATCATTTATTTTCCACTGCCACATTAAGGAACACAACACTCCTTTATAGAGCAGATTAAGGAAAAATATAGAGATTCTGTGGACCAAGGTATTATCACATCTCTTATTACACAACTTTTCCTAGGATAAGCTCTGCATGAGCTTTATCAGCTCACTACCAACTGCTCTTCCTCTCTTATAGGGTGTGGGAGGTATTTATTAAAAGCTGCAATATGTTTCTCTCTACAGCTTACTTAAATTGCTTTTGTAGAGTATCAAACACACTTGCAAAATTAAGAGCCTCCAAACAAAAAATTTACTATTACTTCTTTTATGCCAAGAACTAAATCTTAGGCGTTAAAGCTTTAGTTCAAAAGCAATATTTGTCTCTCTGAAAGGAGTGTAGAATACAGTGCAATAACTGGTACAATTCTCCAACAACTCTATTGATGTGGCAAAATGGGCCCAGCTTTATAAATTTGTATAACTCATTTCAATGAAGGCATTGTAAAGATTTTATATTAAAGAAATTAACAGGTCTATAGAGAAATCGGACACTTTAGGTATTTTAAATGTGACCAAGAATTTCAGTGGCTCTAATTTACCGTGGTTCATTGAGATCGTGTCATGAGCAAGAGACAGTCATTGTCTTAAGTAAGGAGACCAATCATAAGATATCAGATTCCTTCAGTCTGGTTTCCCTCATGGGGGCTCAGAATGTTAGAGCTGGAAAGAAATAGGCTTTATCTAGGCAGGTGATCACAGGGCCTCAGTTAGTTTGAGATTTAACCTTTAATTCACAGAATATTTGTTAAGCACCTAATATGTGCCAAGTATTGTGCTATGCCATGTAGACAGATATGAACAAGACAGACTCAATCTTTACCTGTGTCCTATAAACGGAGAGAGATGATTAAACAATAATTCCCTCTAAGAGACTAATGCCATAGGATGGGAAGGACAGAGCTTGAGAACATCTAGAAAAAGCACCTGGTGCAGATGTAGTGGGTCAGCGGGGCTTTCCAGAGCCTGAGAGAGAGACACCTAAGCTGACACCTAAACGGTAAGTAGAAGTTATCCACACAGTAGTGATGAAGGAGGAGTGAGGAGTGTGCGAGTCAGGGTGTGTGGGTGGGGTTTGCTTGCAGGTGGAGTGTAATAGGGCAGGGGAGTAGGAAGGTCTGTGGAGGCAGGATCAGGTGGGATCTGGAAACCAAGTTAAGGAGTACAGCCCTTATCCAACGGCAGTGGGAAGGCACTGAAGGATTTCATCAGAAGAATGACGTGATCACATCTGTGTTTTAGGAAGATCACTCTACAGTGTGGCAAATGGATTAATGGGCAGAAGGCAAGACTGGCAGCAGAGGGACCTGTTAGGAGACTGCACAGTAATCTAGACAGTAGTGGTGGGGATGTTGAAGTGTCTCAGTTCCTGAGATAATTAGAAGCATCCAAAGTGACCTATTGATTATGGGAGTTGAAGCAACGGAAGAGTCAAGGTTATCCCCGCCCAGCTTTCTGTCTTGAGCAGAAATATGAGAAATATGCAACAGGAAGATAGAAAGGAACTCTTCTCTTGTTGGAATAGTAAAAACTTAAAGTTATGTGTCTTAGAAAATAGGAAGCCATTAAAGAGATGGAAGGATAATACTACAAATAGTTCAGAATATTTTTTTTCTACTTCAGATGAAAGATATCTTTTCTAACTGTAAAAGCCCACGTGTCACTAGATGCTTTTCAATCTTCATTTGGGAGCAGCAGTTTATAGGCTACAGATAATTGAATATCTCTCTTTACTGTCGGTTCACAAAAATGTGAAACTGTCACTGCTAAAAGTCATGCAGTTTCTCCCTGAATGAATGAAAATTCTGTGCACATCTGCATTTGTTCAGGTTATTGTCTTCCTAGGAGGAGCTCAGGGACACCTGCTTACATTCTGATCAATGACTGAAGTTTATTCCGCCCCTAACTGTGAATCAAATATACAGCTGCTGGAAATGTCAGCAAAGTCACATAAAAAGAACTCTGATTCACTGCTGTTACACTATTAAATAATCAGTGCTCATGTCACATTGAATTGGATGTAAAAATGCCTTGTGGCTGTTATTCCTACTGGGAGGCACTTGAAAATGTCCCCTCTCTTTACCTGTTAAAATCAAGTGGGCAGCATAGATATATTATAGATACACGTTACTGAACCCATTGAATGAAGTCACTTTTTTCAAACAGGCAGCTTTCCTGTTGGTCTGTTCTGTGATTGTTCTTGAACATCCTGGCTGATCCTGGTGTAACTACTAAAGAATAATCAGGGGGGCCGGCCCCGTGGCTTAGTGCGCGCGCTCTGCTGCTGGCGGCCCGGGTTTGGATCCCGGGTGCGCACCGACGCACCACTTCTCTGGCCATGCTGAGGCCACGTCCCACATGCAGCAACTAGAAGGATGTGCAACTACGACATATGACTATCTACTGGGGCTTTGGGGAAATAAATAAATAAAATTATAAAAAAAAAATAATAATAATAATCAGGGGCCGGCCCGTGGCTTAGCGGTTAGGTGCGCGCGCTCGGCTACTGGCAGCCCGGGTTCGGATCCTGGGTGTGCACCGACGCACCGCTTCTCCAGCCATGCTGAGGCTGAGTCCCACATACAGCAGCTAGAAGGATGTACAACTATGACATACAACTACCTACTGGGGCTTTGGGGACAAAAAAGGAGGAGTATTGACAATAGATGTTAGCTCACAGCCAGTCTTCCTCAGCAAAAAGAGGAGGATTAGCATGGATGTTAGCTCAGGGCTGATCTTCTTCACAAAAAAAAAAAAAAGAATAATCAGACATTGCTTAGGTTAGATTTGTGGATCAAGCTGCCATCTGAAAGCAACATGATGGCCAATATTTTTAAATTTCCTTTTTATAGTAATTTCCATCTGTATAAGGAAAATGAATTCTTTTTGTAGAATGTCTTCTATCTAAATAAAACTCATTTCATTAGGAGTTGCTGAAATACAAACTACCTTTTTATAAAATTAGCCTTTCTAATGAGGCAAAACTCTTATGAGAAAGTTACTATTGTCTGTCAACATAACACATTTGCCAGAGGAAGGGAAGGAGGAGAAAGTGAGAAGAAGGGGAAGTGAGAGAGGGAGGGAAGTACATTTTATGGACTCAGCCACTGGGGGAGGAGTTAGTTACAGTAGAATACACTGTGAGTTATTAAACCTAACCACTTCCAACATGGCTGGGAACCTCCTAAAACTGTTCCTAATAAAAAAAATCTGCCCCAACCAATACCACTATGAAGAAGTGGTTCTACTTAGCAAAGAAATTTCCATATGACTATCAGTGGCAGGGTCAACACTAAAAGTCTGTTGTTATTTCAGCTATCAGAAAACCTCTATGAGACAAGCACTTTCTCTCCTCCCTATCATTTTAACAACACTTTTCTAGAATAAATGTATCTAATTGTAGTCTTTTAACTTCGGGAGTGGGAAGGGGATTAGAAGGGAAGGGGCTGCAGGGAGTACGAAGGATGGAAAGAGGAAGAGAGCCTGAGTTGTTCTAGCCACAGATCTTTTGTTTTTCTTCTAGGCAATGACATCAGAAGGACTTGAATTTAGATCCAGGATGCGTTTTCTTTCTTGAGAAGGTTATGTCATATCTTTGAGCTATAGTTTCCTCTTCTATAAAACAGGGTATATGAATATATTTCTCATGGGGTTGTTGTGAGGATTAAATGTATGTAAATTTCCAGTCACACCATAAGTGCTCAATAAATGCTACTCTCTAAGTAGCAATTGCTCTTCAGCTGCCTTTGTATCTTCCTGCTTCAGAGACACTGACACCCCAGTGATAATGTACAGACAGAAAAAGCAAAATAAAGCACTAATGTAGAAAACAAACTAGGAGACATATGAGCTAGGTCAACGAGGGTATTACCCTCTCCTCTTTCTCCCAGTGGGTTCAAAGCACTTTTCCATACGTTAATTTGCTTTGTTCATCCAGAATATTGAGACTATGGTTCCCAGTTATATGTTTATTATGATAAAATTTCAAGTCAGCAGAACAATTTGGACTTTTAATACAATGCATTCTGGGGCCGGCCCCGTGGCTTAGTGGTTAAGTGCTCGCACTGCGCTGCTGGCGGCCCGGGTTTGGATCCCGGGCGTGCACCGAGGCACTGCTTCTCTGGCCATGCTGAGGCCGCGTCCCACATACAGCAACTAGAAGGATGTGCAACTACGACATACAACTATCTACTGGGGCTTTGGGGGGGAAAAAAAAAAGGAGGAGGATTGGCAGTAGATGTTAGCTCAGAGCCAGTCTTCCTCAGCAAAAAGAGGAGCATTAGCACGGATGTTAGCTCAGGGCTGATCTTCCTCACAAAAAAAAAAAAACAAAAACACAATGCACTCTGGTACGTTATCTATTATTTATTAATAAAGCCCTTTAGGTAAAAGATATGACATAAAGATAGTGAATTATAAGATATTTGCAGAACTCAAAATGAAAGTTCAAGGTTAAAATTGGCTGTAATATTTTGTGGGCCCACACTAGCTGTGGATTTGTAATTTTGAAGACCCTGAATATCCTTTCTGATGCTCTGTAGGCATCTATGTAAACCATCAGTTGCGTTCAACTTCTCCAAAACACTTTTTCTTCTTAGTTAATTTCACTCATTTTTCATTTCAGTCCTGACACTCCATTTCCTACAGACAAAAAATACTAAGTTGTCTTAGTGCAAATAAGAAGTACAGAATTTAGTCCAAAATAGTACAATTGATTCCAGAAGAACGCAACATGTTTCCTTGCTGACAGGAGACACATGGGTTATAAATGTGTCCTTATTTGAACACTAAAGAAAAAGAAAAGGCTTCTTTAAAAAAGAGAGAGAAAAAGACAGAAAATTCCTAATCTAGAATCTTGAGAACATATCAAGATAGTTAGGCAAAGTCACTTACCGCTCTGTGTTTCTGAGAGCTGAAGGTTTCACTTTAATAAGATTGTCCAAGTCTTGGCTATTCAAAACAGAAAAACATAAGTTCAGATTAGTGATAGTTTTTTTGGTTGTGCTAGGTCAGTAAAACAACATTTTATTTTATTTTATTGAGGTAACATTGGTTTATAACATTACATAAATTCAAGTGTACATCATCATATTTCAATTTCTGGGGGACTACATCATGTTCACCACCCAAAGATTAATTACCATCTATCACCACACACATGTGCCCTATCACCCATTTTGCCCTCCCCCCTCCCCTCTTCCCCTCTGGTAACCACCAATCTATTCTCTGTATCTATATGAATAAAACAATATTTTAATCCACTCCATGCAGGGGCAACAGACAGATGAAAACATGACTGCTTTTATTTGTTACCTCTGACTGCTTCCGATTACTGCAGGATTCACTTTGATGAGGTTATTGAGATCCTGGTTTCTTTAAATAGAAAAATAAAAAGAGAGCCAGTTAATTATAAAGTTCTTTTGGTAAAATCATTAAGGTTATAAATCTGCTTGAAATAATAATAAAACGAAATATTCTTCCTGACCAAAGCACAAAAATTAATATAGTTCTATTACCTTCGATTGTTGGTGAGAGTTTCACGATTCACTTTGATGAGCTTATCAAGATCTTGATTTCTTTAAGTGGAAAAAAATAGAAACAGCTTCAGTTAGAGAAAATACAGGTTTCAGTTGGTTGGAAATAGGAAGAAGGGATTAGCTATCTTATCATTTAGTATGAGACGTGTTGGTTTGGCATAGAACAGCCTTGAAACAAATTTTCTAACCAATCCAGGGAAGGACGAGTTTTGCTGGATCAGAAAAAAAATTACCCTGACTTTACATACTTTACTGCCAGAGCACATCCACAAGAGCATGCTGGCTAAGTGTTCACAGCAAACATATGGTGATTAACCACTTTTCACTCTGGAATGTTTTCACATTATGAAAATATAAACTGATTCTAATGTGCTTGTTATTTTTAAAATCATATTCACCAACTAAAGATATTTTTTAAAAGAATAATAAGTTCTAAATTTGGTATTGTACTTAACATAAAATTTGGCAAAGAGAGTTCTAGCAATCCATCAAAATTGTGACTTTTCTTTTCTCGACAATGACTAAAAAGACAAATTAAAATCAGTTGTTCATGGTCAAATTACATACTCTGAAAACTGTCTGGTTTCTATTTGAAGTCCTACCAGTTTCTTCTCTCAGTCACAGAACAATATTTCCTCCCATGTGGTTTGCTGTCATTCACCACCTCAGTATAACACCTTGTTTTAAGGGTTGGAAAGTAGTGATTTTTCAAAGTGTTCCTCTAAATTCCTTTTTAATATTTATTCAAAGAAATATAATAGCCTGCCATGGCAAGAAATCGCAGGACTGATAACATCTGCTTCCAGTACCATCTTGGACAGCAACATCGCTGTACCTCCTTCCCCCCAAGAGTCCTTCTTCTTTATATAAAAATAAAATACATTTTACTCGTCAAAAATATTGATGCAAGGTTAAGAACTGAAGGGGAACCACTTAGAGGTTAACTATCAAGAAGGTCTGAGAAAGGTCTGCATTTCCCTTCCCCAGTCTTAGATCTTTCCATAGAATGTGCTTCCCAGCTCATAGCTTCACTCAGTTTGATCTCTTTAGCATTGTTCTCAGAATCTTCATGGTAGACAGAAAGCCCCTAACTGAATTTTCACTGTTTTGAATCATCTTCAAGATAATATCCTCAACTGAAGATAATCAACTGATGTCTACAAATACTATTAAAGGAATGATTAACATATGAGAACTATTCCAAATATAATTTCCTTTTATAAATTGATTGCAAAATCTATTATAAAGCTGAACTGTGCCTGAAAGACAACAATCTTTAAAATGAGGTTAATTTCACATATCAGAAGAAAAAAGACAAGAATAAAACTTTGTAGAAGAGATAATACGTTCAAAGGCCACAACCTTTTAACATAAAATTAATCACAATATTTTTTACTGTAACTACATATAATATTCATGTACCAGCATAATTAAGAGTAAGCTGCACAGAAAGTGCAAACACAAACATGAGAATTTCCATTTTCACTGTTCTGTTGAGCACAGAAAATTTGATTCATCCAACAACCTAGAACAGTGATATACACACTGCTGTTTCATGAGGTCCACTAAGAAATACATTTTATATCACAGCTCAGTACTCTGTCTTTAGACAGACACACACACGCACACATAATAAAACATAAATTTCATGACATAATACCCTCACTACATAAGAAGAATTCTCATATTTTCTACTCTATTTAATTCATTCTATTTAACTGGGGACAATGCTTATTGCCACTCACCAAATTAATCACAAGATGCTTTAACGGGTTGGGACCCACAGTTTGAGAAACACTAAAACTTAGAAAACATATAAATGTATGCTATGTTCTACCACTACTTCTAAAAAGACAACACTGTGTATTAATAAAACAAGAATCTCAGTAACAGTTCTGAATTGCCTTGATTGATAGCATCACGCAATTTATTGCAATGAATTGAAAACAACAAATTTATAGATATTTTTTTCAGGTCCTGGGTCCCTGCAAACACAAGAATCTTATACCTAAATTTTATCTGGGAAAAATATAACATTTGTCCTACTCAAGTTACTACTTCTATTTATTTTGCTTTAAGGATGTAGTAAAGGGATGTGTTAGAATATTTAGCTATTATTACTCCCATGTAGTTTAAAAGTTGTAAAGTGTTTTGCAGTCATTTGCACATTTGTGCCATTGTCATCTATGAAGTAATCTTTCAAGTGACCCTGTAGAGCACTAAGGGGCACCTCCTGGCTGCCCCATGACAGGAGCAACAATCCCAGCTTTATAGCCTCTACTATTTCCTGAGGTGCTTAATTATCTTTCATTTATTTTAAGATCAAAGTCTGCGTGTTGTGGTTTAAAGACAAGGAGTTGGGCTGGGAGTTAGAAGAACTCACAGAAGGCTATGAGATTTTTGCCCCTGATCTCAGTATTCTCATCTGTGAAATGAGGAGATTAGATTGGATCATCTCTAAGGGTCTGTCCATCTCCAACATCTTCTACTCCTAGGAAACTATGAATGTGAATTCAACTGCCTGTTGGGTTTATTAAATTATCTATTCAATGTCTCTTTTTCTTTTTAAATGCAACGCATTTACAATGCATTTTATATTCAGCAAGCAGTACATGAATATTCCAAAAATGTAATATATTAAATTGACAACCTATTATTGTCTTGGAGTAACATCTCTGTGCCCCCGGTACATAATTAGCTTTAATCTATGATAATTGCCTGCTGTTAATAAGATTATGTCTACTGAATTCTCTTTTTGGCGTCCACGGCCTGTAATTATACCTAATGTGCAACTAATGATACCTAGTTGTAGGCTTCAAACCCAGTAGGTGCTCAGTAATTATTCACTGCCTAACAGATCACAGAACTACTATCAGTCTTCCACTAGTTTTCTCTGTGACCCTGGTCAAATCACTTAATGTTTCTGATTCTTAATTTCCTCTTCTGTAAATTGAATAGGTTTGGGTGAAACAGTGGTTTTCAAAATTGTTCAGACTAATAGGGCTAGGAGTTCTCTGAGGTTCCTTCCTTCTAGCTCTAAAATTTTGGAGTTTTTATATGTACCAACTAAATTCAAAAAGGGAAATCATGAAAACATTCTTAAGATATATAGGTATATAATAGTAGTGTGTAATGATATAAAAACCTTCATATAACCAGAGATAAAAAGTGAATTTCATCATCTTACAGATACAACTTAAAGAATTATCAAATTTTAGGTCCATAACTTTGCTGGGAGCAGCAAACCATCTAAGAAACAACAAATCTCTTAAAACTTTCACTGACTACCAGAAAACACTCTTCAAAAATGAGGTGAATGATATTGCTGGTGATGAATCTAATGAAGTGTCTAGGTCTTTTTTTCTAATTAACTATTATTAATAAATTTTAAGCAATTCCAGACAGAGGCATTAACATCAATACTATAAAATATAGCACATAGACTAGCTATGTTCCAACACTAGTCACTCCTTCCAATCGTTTTACTTGAGGCTGAAAGAAGTGAAGCTTCCATCATATATTGTTTCAGTTGCCTCTCTTTCATGCTAGTAACAGATAATATCTGTTTCCAGGGACATATAAAAATTGTGATGATATTTTAACACTTATGTTCAATTTGCCCACATAATAATTATAAGTCATTTACATTCATATTGTGCTTAGTTAAGGAGAAACAAAACAAGTAAAGAACATCCTTCTCTTACCCAGCCGTGTTTTTGACAGCTTTGGGGCTTACACTAATAAGTTCATCAAGACCTTGTTCACTGCTAAAACAAAATAAAATAAAAGGTCAAATTCAGTTGGAAAACAGCAAATTCTATGTCCAGCATTTTTTCTTTTGACATTTGTGAATCATTCAATGGGATCCCAGATAAAAAGTAATAAGTTTACCGAGTTTCTACTTTATAAAGTTTTTTAAAATTCTCAAAACAACTTGGTGAAGTAGATAGGACCATCCTCCCTTTACAAATAAAGAAATTGAGTTTCATAGAAGTTAAGGCACTCCTTGGGCCCAGGTACCTAAGAAGTGGCTGAGGGTGAACCAGGTTGAAACCATAGCAACTGGACCCCAAACCTCACGCTCCTTCATGCTAACATCCTTCCTCCCTCTGTATTCACAACAATTCCTTACATCTGCACAATGCTTTCACCAACATTATCATCACAATAATTCTGAGAAGTAGCTTGGAGTTACTCTGTCATGCTTTCTTAACTTTTGCTCCAGTGCATAATGGGTCTTAACTTCTCAGGAAGACAGAAGTATATTCAAAGTCATGCAAAAATATTCTAATCATGTATACGAATGTTATGTCACCTTCTCAAGAGTCCATTTAAAAATTAATCCTTGGGTTTGTGAAAGAGTAGAAAGCCAATATTCTTTGGCTTATTCAGTTTTATGAATTTATAATTTGCTAACTATAAATTTATAGTAATAATCTAGTTATCCTATTATTGTGTCAAAATGAATTTCTCAAGTAGTAATTAAACAGAATTAGTTTCAACATTACAATTTTAAACAATAGTATAATGAAATAAATTGAAGCAATAATAAAAGAAAAATCTATCCAGGATTATTACACATCAACAAATCGATTTGTTCTCATTTTTTTTCACGTCCCCTTTCAAAATGTCCTTAGCAAAACAATTAATCTTATTTTTTGGCCTAATTTGGAGATTTGCTCAGGAGTTTTCAATAATCTTAATAAGCTTACCATTTGTTTGCTGAGGGAATCACTTCGATAAGATTGTCCAGGTCTTTGTTCCTAAAAATATGTTGTTAAGTGTCAATAGCCAGTAAAATCAACTAAAATAAATAATAATTCATACATTTTTTTCAACCTTAAAATTGAATTAAGTGAGTGTTGCTAATTTAAAAATTTATTATTACTTGAATTCTCTTTTTAGCCCTATGTAAAAGTGGATGGCTACTATCAATTCATTTCTCACACAACTATGTATATACGAGAATTTAATTTAGTTTTATTCATATTTCTTTCAAGACAACCTCAAATTTAAATTACTCTTAAACTCTTTATTTTCCATATTATAGTTGTAGTAGAATTAGCATTTGGAATACGTTTGAAGGTTGTAACGAATAAGAGAAAAATATAAAACTGTTCCTCATTTTCATGTGTTCCTTGCTTCCCTCCTCTCCCCTCCAAAACAAAACAAAACAAAACCTAGGACTTTAAAAAAAAGAGTTAGTTCCTGATTCTAAGGTATGCAAGTAATATACATAATGTGAATACGTAATATTGAGGCTATTCTAAGATATTAATCAAATCACTTCAGAATCACACTTCATGCAATGCTAAATCAGAACAAGCAAAATTATATTATACATATCAGATTATATAACTTGTTCGGAGTTTTTTGAGGAAGATCGGCCCTGCGCTAACATCTGTTGCCAATCTTGCTCTTTTTTTCTCCCCAAAGCCCCAGTACATAGATGTATATCGTAGTTGTAGAGTTATAGCTCTTCTATGTGGGACACCACCTCAACATGGCTTGATGAGCAGTGAGTAGGTCCGCGCCCAAGGTCATAACCAGTGAACCCCAGGCCGCTGAAGTGGAGCAAGTGAACTTAACTGCTACGTCACCAGGCCGGCCCCTATAACTTGTTTTTATTCCAAACGCTGGAATAGGCAATCATAACTCTAAAGAGACCTTTCTATTATCACAGTGGACTCTCATACAAACCCTAACACCAAAAGGCCTGAACAAGAAGCCTAATTTGATATATCTTATTATTGGACAATACGTTATATATCCTGAAGAAAAGAGGACCAGAAAGGCTTATATCACTTAACTAATCTTTAGGATTAACCTATAAACTAATTTTATCATTACTTATCCTCCCACGTAAATTATTGCATTCTACTATGTTGAACCATATGAAATTGTCATTTTGTGGGTCAAAAATGGTTGATTGTCAGCAATTTTGTAAGATTCACCTAATAGGATAATTTCTGTGGTATCTTCTTTGAATTTAGCATCAAGTGGTGCTATGGGGACCCAACAACGAAGAAAAAATAGTAACAGTAATAATAATACCAATAGACAATGTCTAGTATGTACTTGAACACTAAGTGCTTTACAAGCTTGATCTCATCTAATTTTTCTAGCAACTCACAAAGAAGTTAATTCTTACAATCCCCACTTTACAGATAAAGAAGCTGAGGCTTAAAGGGGATTAAGCCATTGGTCTAAAATTACCCAGTTAGTAAGTGTTCTCTGAACTTAGAAATTTTACTGCCAAGTGGAAGAGACGACACATGACCAAATACACTCCATGGCAGCATGTGGGTACTAAAATAGAGGCCCAAATACTGTACAGGGGAGGTCACATGACTAGGGCCATCTTCACCTTTACAAACTAAGTCATCTTGGAAGAGGAACAAGGGACACCTGCCTTTCTCTGAATCTTAATCTGTAAGGTAAGGTATTATATGGTCTCTTGATTCAGTACCTGACTCTCAGAAAATGATGATAACGTTATGTTCTTATTTAGCGAAGAAAATCAAAGGATAATTTAGCATTAAATATTCAGATAAAAGAATGATGAAACTTTTGGTCTAACCATAAAGTGAATGAAACAACATAAATAAGGGAGAGGGGGATGGGCAGCAGGCTGTGTTCCGGAAGCTGCCCCAAATACATTCGAAGTTGATCCTCCTCACCCACCCACATAAAATACTACCTAGTCCAGGGGCGAGCCATCTGCAGGTCTCAAGCTAAATCCAGCCTGTAGTCTGGCTTTGTAAATAAAGTTTTAAGAACACAGCCATGCCCACTTATTTACAATGTCTAGGACTGCTAGTTGACTAGTTAAAACAGAGACTGTTTTGGCCCCCCAAACCTGAAATATTTACTATCTAGCCCTTTAAGAAAAAGTTGCTGACCCCTGGTTTAGTCTAATAAACTTTACATGATAGTAAAAATAGAGAGTATTCCCATATGCAAAGTAAGACAGGAAATCTGTCAGAAAGAAGATACATACTTTGGTATCTTTTATGTTTAGCTTATGTTCAAACTAGCATAAGAATATATGTTTATAGCTTCACAGTTTTGTCATGTCTCTTTGTTTACTTAACGTGATATGCCTTAGAGAAAATTCTCTGTCTATAAAAGACAAAATGTCATTCATGGGGCTGGCCTGGTGGCATAGTGGTTAAGTTCGCGTGCTCCACTTCAGAGGCCTGGGGTTTGCTGGTTCGGATCCTGGGCACGGACCTACACACCGCTCAACAAGCCATGCTGTGGTGGCATCCCACATACAAAATAAAGGAAGATTGGCACAGATGTTAACTCAGCGACAATCTTCCTCACCAAAAAGAAAAACACAAATGTCATTCTCTGCATTCTTTATTATTTCAATGAACTGAGAGTAATTTTTGAAAACGACCTCCCAACGTTAGGAATTGTCTGGGTAAGAGGAAAGGGAATGAATGATGCAGGAAGAAGGAAGGAGAATTTTTCTTCACATGAAGACCTTCCCTTAGCTGGCTTAGCTCTAGGAAATTGTTTTGGGGTAGTGTTTCATCTCATGGGGAATCCCGATTCATTTGAGGAAATCCCAAGCATGGAACACAAAATCTCATACTGATAAGAGATATTTTAAGGAATTGTGTCTTCTCAACTAAAGCTTATGGCCAGAGAGCCCCGTGCAAGGACTTGAACACCAGGTTTATGACACAGAGCTGTTGATTTTGGGTCGATTACTGGCTGTCTCTATGGTGGGACAATGAATTTTATCACATTTTTTTACGTTGAATAGAAAAAAAAGGAGAGAGAGAAGAGTTCCATAAACCTCACCCTTGGTTAGCTCTGTTTGTTTCAGGAGCCACTTTGATGAGGCTGTCAAGACTTTGGGCCCTTTAAAACACGGAAGAAGTGATAAGATCAGTGGTCAATTCACATCATGTGACTGTAAATATTTATTAAAGCTGAGAAATATTTTTTATTATAAAATATTTATTAAAACAGAGATCACCTCAAAAGTCTAGAGTTTTTCAGTGCTGACTATGAATACATATTTTTGAGCCTAACTATAACTGCATAGAAATAATAAACAATAACTAACGGTTTTAGAAAATTCATGATGTGCCAGGCACTGTCCTAAGTGCTTTATATAATTTAGTCCTCACATCAATCCTTTGACATAGGAAGTACTATTATCTTAATTTCACAAATTGAAAAATTGAGACACAAAAAGATTAAGTTTTTCCCACATGGCTAGTGGTGGCAGGGCTGGAATTTAAGGCTAAATAATCTAACTCCATGTAAGATTAATTGCATGTGCTTTTCCATGACACCAACCCATCTTATTGGAACTTAGTAACTGAATTAGTGTTGGAAGTGACTAGAGAGAACTTGGTCCAGTTTCCTCACTTTGAGGATGAGAAAACTGAAGTCCAAACAGGAGAAGTGACCAGTCCTGTTTCACACAGTTAGTGAGGGACAGAGGCAGGCCTAGACCCACATCTATGAGCTCCCTTCTTTCCGCTCTTCTGTGCCATCCTCTGCTTAAGAAAAACAAACAAATCAATGAATAAAAGTGTCCTGTCCATCCTGGGAAAACAATTGTGCATCTAATGAATCAAAGGGTACCTCCATTATATTAGAAATCAGTTGACTAAAATCTTTAACATTCTAGATGTGAGGTCATGAAGGTTGCATGGCTTTTCTTGAACTGTTATTGACTTCAGTGTCAGTCTGCTGAATGATAATTTAATTATGTTTGTAAGCATTGGTTAGTGTGAAAAAAAGAGAAGCATATTAAATCTTACCCTTGCACACTTTTTCCTGTTCTTGAATCCACTTTGATGAGGTTATCAAGGTCTTTGGAACTTTAAACAAAAAAAATGATAAGTAAAATGGAATTAAATCAATTAAGTATTTGATTTATTTTTTATTTTTTTTAAGTATTTTAATTTAAAGGATATATGTGCTCAAGATGAATTTTACTATAAAGTTTTAAGAAAAATCAACACCAGTCTATGCTTTTCATTTAAAAAAGTAAAAATTTTGACCTCCATACAAATCATTGATATACTGGCTCAGTTTCCAATTTTACCCTCAAAATAAAATTAGGCCAAGATTGAGTTAAAAAAAAAAAATCAATTCAGCATCCCACTACTGGGAATCTATCCAATGAATCTAAAATCAACAATCCAAAGAGGCTTATGCATCCCTATGTTCATTGCAGCATTATTCACTATAGCCAAGTAGAAGCAACCTAAGTGTCCCTTGACTGATGATTGGATCAAGATGTAGTATATATATACAATGGAATACTACTCAGCCATAAAAAAAAGACAAAATCGTCCCATTTGCAATGATAGCCCCCCAACAAGGCCCTCCCTGGATGGGCCTGGAGGGTATTATGTTAAATGAAATAAGCCAGAAGGAGAAAGACAAACAATGTATGATCTCACTCATATGTGGACTATAAACCAACACATGGACAGAGAAAACTGTATTGCGGTTACCAGGGGCAATGGGGGTAGAGGGTGGGCACAAGGGGTGAAGAGACATATATATGGTGATGGACAAACAAAAATGTAAAACCCAAAATCTCACAATGTTATAAACTATTAAAACATCAATAAAAAAATAAAAATAAATCAATTCAGGGACCATGAAATGATTTGCCAAAAACTCTCACCTGGCCTCTCTAAATATTCCATCTAATGCTGTGGCTATAACTAAACTGTATTCTGTTAATTTCTGTTTGTAGTGCCTTTTTGCTTTAAAGGGGTTTTATATCTATTATTTCACTTGATTCTTACAACAATCAAGTGACAAAGGTGGAACAGACATTACAATCCTCATTTTATAGCTAACGAAGCCGCAGCTCAGAGTGTTGGAGGGACTTGCTCGAAGGCATCCACCTGGTAATTAATGGAGGTCAGACTTTCTGATTCCAACCCAAAGATTTTCCAACACAGCTTCTCCGATAAGTGCCACAAATTGATGCAGACGGGGAAAGGAAGAAAGATAAGACATAATCCTCACCTTGGGTTACTACTGTTTACTTCAGGGGTCACTTGGATGAGATTGTCAAGGCTCTGTCCTCTTTAAAACACAGAAGAAATGATGAGGTTAATGATAGATTAACACCAAGTGGATAAAATTATTCATTAAAACTCAGAAACAGTGTAAACACTTACAGATCATGCCAAAGAGTTGAATATTGTTAAAAGTGACTACGCAGAAGTATTTTGGGATTTATACATCTCTGCAACTCATTGAGATTCAGCGAGACAATATTTTAATCTTGGAGCCATTAGGCCACTAGCAAATACTGCACTAGGATTCTGTCTTTATTTTGATTCATTTAATACTATGCTCTTAGCCTTTGCCAGGTGCACTAAACATTTTGTAATAGTCTATATTCACTATATTTTCATGGAACATTCCAGAAGGCACATCCTCTGCATATCAACTTCCAACACGTGGTGGGATTTTTGAACTTTGGAGAATCCATATTTTATAAAATTGACATTGTTTGGCAGATTTTCTATTTACAACACCATTTTTTTAAAGTCCACGATATACAACCTGGCATCTGCTTCTAGTACTTATAATTGCGTGTTAAAACTACAAATTTTGACTAGTTGTGTTGGCAACAAACAATAGGAAGATTAAAATCTGCAGAGTTCTGAAATGTAAGACACATTTACTGTAATATAAAACTCCATGTAGTCACTGAAAACACGTCAGTATTTTATTGTTACCCTTCAGTACATCTGCTTCTGATCTTGATGGAAATTTGCTTTTCTTATTGCATCTACCTGTGTTTTCCACAAATGCAGTGCCAGCCAATGCTCCTCTGATCTACAGAGGATGCCACGTGGGTAAAGAACATCCACAGAAGGTACTGTACAGCGTATTTTTCCATGCCCTCTGGCCCTACTAAGAGCGTATCACAAAGTCTCTGAGGTTGCATCTATGCAACATCAAAGATACAGATATTTGGAAGCAACCAGATGTTGACTCAAGTTTTTGCTTGTATCCAGATGTCTGAGAATCGTATACTTAGGCTAAAAGCAGCAATAAAAAATTTGGACATTTTTCATGCAAATAATGAAACAATTAACCCAACAGAAACAACCATTCTACTCCAGAATATCCCTTGTTGCTTTTTTTTTTTTTTACGCTCTGTTGATTTTTGCCTAAATGAAGTATGTGAGATTTGAATGCCAGTGATTGAGAAAAAAGTTGCCAGGATTCTATTTTCAGATTTGAGTACTCAAAAAGAAAATAACACAGCAGTAAGCATTGTAACTCCTCCCTTGTAATATTTGTGTTGTGGAGTTTGCTTTGATTATATTGTCGAGAACTTGATCTCTTTAAACATATTAAATAATAATAAAGCACCTATCAGTGTAAGGGTATTTAAATTTCAAAGTTCATAAAGTCAATTAAGAAGAGGGTGCTAATTAATATAGTAATGTAAAATAATATTTTGAGTTAAACTATGTAAAGCAATGCCTCATAGTGTATGTATCTTCAATATTTATGCATTCTTCCAATCCACAAGTAGTTATGGAAAGTCTACTCTTGGCCCCAAGTGCTGGGATAGCCATGAACAATACAGACATAGGCTTAGCCCTCATGAAGCTTCCATTCTAACCTTGGGAGAGGCAGGCAATATACAATCAAACATATAAATGAATGCCACAATTCCAGATAACGATATATGCTATAAAGAAAATAAAAAAGAATGCCTTGTGCCTCCAGTGCTGGGGTTGGAGGAGGGAGTGTGACTTAATTATATTCAATGGTCAGAAACGACCTCTTTGAGAGGGTGACAATATGGGGGTAGAGCACTCCCAAAGCGGGAACAGCATAAGCAGAAGTCTTAAGGCAGGAATGAACCTGGGATAGAAAAACGAGCAATTTGGCTAGACTTTATTGAACAAGTAAAAGGCCATCGCTAAGGGTTAGAATTTTATTCTACCTGAAATGGGAGAATATTGAAAGTTTTTAGTAAGGAAGGGAGAATCATCGTATTTTACTTTTTTACCTACAGAATTTAATCATGTGTAGTAAAAGAAAATGACAAGCACTGTCCCTAAAATCTCCCATGAAGCACACACATATGAATAGACACACACAGACACACTCACACTCACTGCAATAGTCCTACACACATACACACAGGTGCATACACATACACACCCATGTACATATGTACTCATATACATACAAAGCACACAGGTATACTAATACATATATTCATGCACACACAAGCAAGCATGCACATGTATGCAATCACACACACACATTTGCACAGACATGCACATACCCGTGTGCATATGCACTCACATACACACATAAACACACATATACATATATATACACTCATGAACACACAAGCACACAGACACAAGTGCATACAAACATTTGCATGCCTTTATACACATATGCCCACATAGACATACACACGCACATACACCAATGTATGAAAAACAATAGGTAATGATTTAAAATATTCTCTTTAATAAAAATTGGAAAGGAAAACATGGATTTTTCTTGGAGAGTCAAAGTAAATTAAATATTTGAACAGTATCAAAATCACTAAGAAAATATAATTGATGTGACTCTTTATTATTGCTAACAATTACTTGTATCCGTTGTGTGCCAGGCATGATAGTATTATGATCCCTATTTTGCAGATGAGCAAATTGAGGCACGGGGACACAGCTAGCCAGTGACAGAGTCAGAATTTGAACCCAGGTCTTTTGGACTCTTTGCTAACATTCACCACCTCAGGTTACCTCCCTAAACCACCCAGGTAGCCAAGGAAATTAATGCTTTCTTCTTAGCCTGTTGGTTGCAAAATTGTACAAGCCTCTAACTTATTGGGTCGCTGCACCTCTGACCATGCCCTGCTGCTGGGAACAGGACAGCCTGACAACGAGCACGCCAGCTTTTCATCTAGCCAAGCCTTTGCTCCGCCGACTGGGCCTGCAGGCATTGGTGACACATTTTAGAATCAACTAATAATATCATGTACTGAGGTAACTGAACGGAAAGGAGTTCAAAGGAAACCACATGGAATTAGTTGGTATGTTGTTTTCAGCAACATGCCAACCAGCTCAGTTTCAAATATATTCCATCTGCTTTTAAAAAAATCAAAAGCAAGAGGACATAAGCTTTCCAGATTTACTTGACAACTCATGGGTAGGAGAACTCTCTTAACAGAGTGCACTGGGTTAAGCTCTTCATCTTTAAACACATACCACACTACATACACATACACACACTACACACAAATACACTACACACATGCACACACAGTTCACAGATACACCCGCACACATCCACACATACTATTTATACATCCACATACATACACTTATACACTACTTATGCACACACATACACTTATACACACATACTATTTATACATACACACATACACTTACATATACACACATTATGATGGTTAATTTCATGTGTCAGCTTGACTGGGCCACAGGGTGCCCAGATATTTGGCCAAACATTATTCTGGGTGTATCTGTGAGAGTGTTTCTGGATGAGATTAACATTTGAATTGGTAGTAAAGCAGATAGCCCTCCCTAACCTGTGTGGGCCCCATCCAATCAGTTGAAGGCCTGAAGAGAACAAAAAGGTTGAGTAAGAGGGGACTTCGCCTGCCTAACTGCTTGACCTGTCATTGGTCTTCTGCCCTTGGACTGGAATTTACACAATACACACTACATACATGCAAAGAAATAAATTATTTAGCTCAGTAGAGAAGGTCAGTCAAATTCCCATTTAATTTCTCATATCTACCTGATGGCAAACTTCACCCAAGAATAAAATGCAAGAGGTCACTTCTGTGTATCATTTGTATAAAATTGCTTAATATCATACATTTGGGGAAAAGAGAGCTCAGTTTTGGTTTGAATTTCAATTTACTCTTCTGTATACAAGGAGTCAGATTTCCAACGCGCTCATAAACGACAAAGGAAAAAGAACTTTAAATGTCTTACCTCTTGATATTTTTATTTGTTTCGGAATTCACTTTAAGAAGCCCATTGAGGTCTTGTTTTCTTTGAATAAATAAATGAGTTTTAATGAATGTTATTAAAATAAAACACTAATCCGGTGAACAATGGTTGGAAAAATTAAGTGGTAAATATTCAAGTTCTCTGTCAATGTAACTTTTAAAGCTCTAAATGTAAATGAAAACTTTTCTCTTACATCTTGAGCTGAAGACCACTTAAGTTTCCTTACTTGTTAACAAGAAACATATAATTTTTTGTTTTCTTCTCAAAATGCATAAGTATATGTGAAACTTGTTATTTAACAAAATCAACTTTGCCCTCAGATACATCTTGTTAGAATACCCCAAATGAGCAGCAATAAAGCAATATAAGTTAGATAAAGTTCTATACTGGATCCAGAGAGAATATAAATTTCTACTCAACAAATCGGATTTAATTGCCTATTTTGTTTTAAAGTAATACTAATAATAATTTAACAATACCAAAAATAATGATAGAATATATGCTCTCATATAAACTCAACAATTGCCCCAATCCAAATCTTTTAAAATATCATTTGCCTCAAAGTACATTATGATGAGTTATAAAGGGCAAAAAAAAAAAAAACCCTGACATGGCAGGAAAATTAATGACTCACTCTCAGGGAAACACATTTCACCCCCATTAAAATGCCTTGAGTAATACCCAAAGGGGCAGCACCTGAACCCAAAAGGGGCAGTAGATGATGGCAGAAGTATCATGACTGGGTACTGCTGCCCCATCAACATAGCCCTGAAGAGGAGAGAAAGTGGTGGAATGTTCTCACTCCCAGTGTATGTACCTGCCCAGCCCCTCCTCCGGGCTACCTTCTGAGACCACCATCCTTACAGAATTGATTTACTAGAGTTTTAGTCAAGCCTCCCTCGGCTATCTTTGTCATTTTGGAGATCCACTTTGAAAATGTTGTCAAGACTGTGCTTTCTTTAGACACAAAGAAATTCAATTCAGTAACTCATCTCTAAAAACAAATCAAAGCCCAAAATCTGGGAGAAAAGGCAACTTACTATTAAATCTTGGGACACTTTTTAAAATAAATGATTTTACTGGAAGCAAGGACGGAGGGTCATGTGGCCCATCATTATTGTTCAATTCCATGCTAATAAAATATGGTTATGAAGTTAAAATGCCAAATCATTTTATCTTATTAATTGCCACTTGCAGAAATCAGATTTAAAGACACTAATAAGTCTTACCCAGCGGTATTTTCACTTCCTTTGGGATTCACTTTGATAACATTATCAAGGTCTTCACCCCTTAAAAAAAAGTTTAGATCGGTTTCAAAGTATTCCCATCATATTATATACATATATATACCTTGCATATTATTGATGATTAATTCAAGCTTTTGAAGAAAATTACTATACTTAAATTCATTTTTATTATTAAAATTTCCTATAATAATATAGTTAAATTAATCTCTAGGATTTTATTGGGCTATATGTACATGTAAATTTAGATAGAAGGTACTGCAGACTCTGCAAAGTGAAAATCAGGGCAATAGGGATCAGATACAGAAGAAAGAAGATGAACTCAAAGATGTGACCCCCTCAATATCTCTGAGACCATCACACAATTAATCTGGAGGAAAATAAACAAGTTTCAGAAACATCAAAGCAGTTCTCACCCTCTGCTAGTTTTATCTGTCCTGGCTCTTGCTTTGATAATTGTTTCGAGACCTTGGCTTCTTTGGAAAAAACACGAAAACCTTATGTCAGTTAGGTTACATTCAGTTTCTCAGAAATCTGTATAAACAAGAATGTCCTTGAAAGGGTGTCAGACGTTTCCAAGGCCAAATGACCAGAAAAATCTTTGATGTAATTATCCTGAGCTTATCTTTATTAATTTCCACAGTAGTACTTATTTTAAATCGGTTTAGAAAATCTGCCCAACATCTCCCTCACTTTGCAATTTTGCCCTTTTCATTTCTTAATTTAAATATAAAATTTGGCTCATTTAAAAAAGTACCTAAGAAAATGTAGAATAAGAGATTATGTAGCAGGTTGTCCTGCACTTACTTCAATGCAACTCAAACATGTGGTCCTATGGAACCAGCACTCATTGTATCCTTTTACCTACTGTCTTTGATAGGCCAAAAGGGCAACTGTTCATCTGTGACAGAGGAAAGCACGACACTCCCATTTCTAATGAATTGTAAAAAGCTAAGCTGAAAAAGAAAGAGCCCCATCACGGTAGAAGCTTTACTCACCCTTTCTCGTTTTTGTCAGTCCTTTGATTAACTTTAATAAGACTTCCAAGGCCTTGGTTTCTTTACCACATTGGGGGAAAGTGGACGAGGGCAGAGCAACAGAGAGAGAAAGAGAGAGAACAATCCAATCTCTTATGACAACAGCAGATTTCTCACAACAGGAGTAAGATGTTTTCAGTACCTAAAGCTTCAGAAGTCCTTAGAAATATTTAATTCAAGTGGCTCTACTCCTTGTGCAAAATGCTGAAAAGATATGCTAAGCATCCTACTAGTAAGGTCCCAACCATTACTCAGTTATGATTAAATCAATTTAAAAGTAAAAGTTCCCTCCAGGTCTCAGCTTTTGCTATCTTTCTCCTTTGAGGGGGGTGTGGATGGGAAGTTAACTTTAATACATTTGTTGAGATATTGTCTTCTTTAAACATGAAAATCATTCACATCAGGCGTAAAAATCAGATGATCGACATTTTCTAAACACTTTGAAGATTTACACAAGTCATTTTTAATAAAAAGTTCAAGATTCTGAAGTAACCTTGTAAAAGTAAAAATAACTCTACGATGGCTTCAGTGCTTCATATAAATTAGCCACAACTGATAAAACTTTCACACGCCAAAACTTAAAATTTTTAGGGAACATGGAAGCTAATCCCTCTACATTCCCCAATTGTCCAAGGGTTCCCCTTTGCCATTTTTATCTGTCTCTGATTTCACTGTGATAATACTATTGACATTTTAGTTTCTTTCAATATAAGAAAGAAGAAAGGGAGAGAGGGAAGGAAGAAGGAAAAGGAACTACGGACTCTCCCTACTACACCAACGAGGTCAGTCACTCTTGCATCAAAGCCTAGCTGCTATCAAGTTATCCCAGATTACAAATCACTTCTCTTATCCTCCTTTCTCGCCCACAAAATGATTTACTTGTGATGTTCATCCTACTTTTCCTATTTTCCACCACTTTTGTGGAACTTTCCAAACTTCATTTCTTAAATATCTGAAATGTCATCTTTTCCTGTAAAACTCATATAACCACTTAACAGAAATTGACTGCTTTCCCACTTCATCTGTTCTCCATTTGAAAAAAATTCACCCATAATAATGATTGCACGTTTTCATTATGGTAATGTGTTGTTAACAAGCATTCAATGTCTGGGGGATTGTTATTGCCAACACTTTTTATTATATAGACTTTGTTACGTGTTCTACATCAGAGAGGTTGAGAATGTATCTGCCAAGATTGACTTGAAAAACCGGAATACCATTCTGTGCACAGATTGGCACAGATAAATGGTTTTTAAAGGTAACCAAGACAATGGAAATAATTATCGTTGTAGGAAAGCAAATTTAATGACTAACCAAATACAAGGTAAACAGTGAATCTAGAGAAAAAGCAGTAGAGATCTCATAAATCCTTACCCTTTGTTATTTTCAACTGTTCGGGGATTTTCTTTAATGAAACTGTCAAGAGTTTGGTTTCTTTCAACACAAAAAATAATATCAGTAATGTAACTTATTTTCTAGCATATCAATATCAGTCCAGAACTATGAGTTAACCTCTTAAATGTTATCAGTTCAGTTACTGATCCTTCATTAATGCTGTTTATGATACAAAATAAATAAAAGCATGGCTCTTGACCTTGAGATATTTACAAATATATCTGAAACATATATAAGAAGTGACTCAACCAAGATTCCAACTGAAAAGTGTCTTAGCACATTACAAAGACTTCAGTAGTGATGGGCTATGCTCCCAGCATCAAAATGTCTTATGGTAAATATATTTAGTTCATGAACCAGCCTATTGTCCACTACTTGTAACAGCAAATCTGATTTCTTTCATTTTTAGATATAAAAGGGAACTTGGGAACATTTTATGGAATGAGGCAACAGAGGTCTCTAAAGGTTAAGCAATGTGTCCAGGGTCACCCAGATTGTTGGTGGCAGAGCCAGCACCAAGACAGCCACCCATCTCCTGACCCTGATGGGGGGGCCCGTTCCACCAGCCTGTCTGACCTTTGTCCTGAGCAAGAGGTCTCCTCCAGGAAATGTTATACAGTCTAGGACTCAACCAAAGAGGCCTGTAAGAGTTTTCATCAAATCTTACCCTTTGCCATCTTTGTCTGTCCGGGTATTCACAAAGATGAGATTTTCAAGGCTTTTGGCTCTGTAAAACATAAAGAAATTCAAATAAAAGACTGAATATTGAAATAAAATTGGGTGGTATCTTAAGAGGTCAGATACAATAAACGTTCTTCATGAATTTCTCATTTACTCTTATGGAACAGAAGAGCAGAAATCCTTCCGAGCAGTTATGTCTGAACGAAGTGTACAGTACCAAGAGCGCTACCCCACCTGTTAGTACATTTTCATGCCAGAGGATACAACTCCCTTCCGGCTAATGTCTGAAAGGATAAAACAAGCAATCTGGGAGATGAGATTTTCAGGTTAGAGACAGATGCACTCACCTTTTTTCTGTTTGTTCTGCCTTAAGATTTGCTCTGAAGAGACCATCAAGACCTTGATTTCTTTAAATATATTGAATAAAAAACCTTGTCAGTGGTAATAACAGATACTTAACTCTATAGAAACATAGACCAGTTTACATCTGAGACATGAAATAGAAGCTGATGGTGAAAGATGAGCCACAATCCTTGAAATTGCTTTATTCCACACAGGTATTTTCATAGACTCAAAATTTAAATTGCAGTGGACCTTAGAGAAAATAAAGGCAAGATACAAACTGGGGACCCACAATCTGTAATAGGTCCACAGATGTGTTGTTTGGGTTCATGGAGTGTTTTTGTTTTTAATGTGAGGCAATATTTACAAAGCTGGCCAGGACACATAGAAACTTGGATTTCCAGTATCTTCTGAAACTGTCCTGCAACACTGGGCTCAAATTCTCACGTGTCAACCATCAGCTGGAGCTGAGAAACAGCTGGGCGCTTTGGACAGGGCATTTCCCCTATGTTTCACACAGTCAGCCCCCTTCACTCACTTACACCTGCCTGGCCTCAAAAGGCCATGAAGTCTGTGATTCTTGATCTAATTCCTCCTCTCTTTATAAATGAGAAAACTGAAAAGCAGCAAATTTAAGTGAATTGTTGATAGTCAATCATATAGATCATTATTGTCAGAATGAGGTATGAAAACCACATCTCTTGATCCTCAAATCAATTAACTCATTTGACATTTCCTTTGTTTCTCCTTTCTTTTGTCCCTGCCCATTGAGTATGTAAGTGTGCAAACTGACAGAGAGAAAATGAGAACTGCACACACCTCTAACACAAACTTCAATTATTATAATTTTTAAAGTATGCAATTATAAATGATTCAAAATAAGGAGAGAATGTTAACTAAGATAAGTCGTTTTTGTAATGATAAAACTAAAAGCATTCAGTGACCAAACCAAACTCTGCTTACAGACTAATACATTAATATTTCAGGAAGAGAAATGTGTTTATTTATATAACTGCCTTACTAAACAAACGGAGTTTAGTAAGGCAGTTATTAAAAACATGTTAATATTAGTATCTTTAGATTGTAATAACCATTCATAATAATGATGAAATGATGATGATTTCTGCAAGCTTTTTATTCAAGATTTGTAGGATACTTTTAACTAGCCGGTATGTGGGTCCTCACATAATACTGAAAAGATATAAGAAATTATAATATGCAATTCAGTAATAAAGCAAAAACAGATGTTTTAAAATCTTACCTATTCAAGCTTTTGTTCATTTTGATGAGATTATCCAATTCTTCTCTTTTGGAAGAGAAAAAAAATCTCACATCAGTAAAAGTCTGCTCAGAGTCAAAGGGAAGATTCACCTTAAAAGAACTATTTCTGAGTTCTGTGAAATATAACACATGCCCTACCTTTATCATCTACGAAAGTTCTGTCTATCCTTCAAGGATCTCCCCACACAACTCTTTTTCCACGAAATCCTTCCCAGTCCTCCAAATGAATAGAGTCCCCTACATTTTTGGAACCCTTGCAGCATTTGGGTTTTTTTTTTTTTTTTTTTTTGTGAGGAGATCAGCCCTGTGCTAACATCCGCCAATCCTCCTCTTTTTTTGCTGAGGAAGACAGCCCTGGGCTAACATCTGTGCCCATCTTCCTCCACTTTATATGGGACGCCGCCACAGCATGGTCTGCCAAGCAGTGCGTCGGTGCGCGCCCGGGATCCGAACCAGCGAACCCCGGGCCGCCGCAGCGGAGCGCGCGCACCCAACCGCTTGCGCCACTGGGCCAGCCCCAGCATTTGGGTTTTTTGTTTTTTGTTTTCCCTCTCTTTTATGGCACTTACATTACTATACTTTGTAATACAGCAGTTACACACTTGTCTCATGTCAATGCTCCAGCCCTCCCCCAACACCACTTAAAATTTAGAACCGTACTTTACATTGGATCCTCTTCAGTCTTTAATACTGTGTCTTTCATACAGTAGGTGCTTAACACAGGTTTTTAATAGAATCAACAAACATGGGTACATTGACTAATTATAGATTCTAATTTTGCATAACATACTCGCTCAAAGTAGCTATTGGAAAACACTTGCTCATCAGTAAGTCTGGTTTCTTTCTTGAATTTTCCTCCTACCTCATTCTAGGTCAGCTAAATTTGCTATCTTGTTTCCATATTTGAGAACTGCAACTTTCTGGCTGCTTCTTCAGGAGCAACCTGTTTAAGCTAAACCCCTGGTTCCAGAATATCCCTTAGAACCACATGAGGTCAGCTCTCTCCCCCATGAAGGCAGCCTAGGTGGGTTCCTTGTTCCTATTCATTCCTCATAGCATGTCCTGTCTTCTTCTGTCTACCCGCTTCACTCCCATTTCTCTTGCCTTCCTCATCCAGTTTTTCAGTTCACAAATCTTGGTTCTCCCTTCTTCTTCCTCTAGAATCACATGTTTTCCACACTTTCTCAGTGTTTCTCTTTCTTCTTGATTCATCACTGGTGTTAAACTCAGTAGTTACACATTCAGGCTCCCAAGTGAGCTGGATACCTAGATTCCAATCCGGGATTCACCACTTATTAGTTAGTGACTCTGGGTGAGTTACCTAACTTCTTGCTGCCTCAATTTTTTCATCTATAAAATAAGAATACTAATTGTACCCTCCTCATAAAAGAATCAATAAGCTAATGAATATAAAATGCTTAGCATGATGCTTGGCAATTCATAAACTCTCAATTAATTTTGGCCATTACAACAAACAGTTCCCAGTCAATACTAAATTTTTCATTTAATAAATGCTTGCTATATCTATTTCTTTAAACTGCATTTAGAGACACCAAGACTGTGGCGCAGCGTTAGAGATGTATAGTTGCTGAGTCACTTATGTGCTTTGAAGATGCCTGGCATAAAATATTGCCAGAATAGCTGCTGGGCCAGTCCTCCTACAGACCCTAAACACACGTCAAGTTAACAGTGATCACACAGATGAACCCTTTCAGGTAATATTACATATTCAATGGTAGGACTGAAATACTGAAATACAAAAGCTGTTGACCCTGACAAAAAAATTGATCAATGTTCTATCCTTGTGTGGGACAAATGCTACCTGGTCCCCTGACACAATGCCCCACTGTTGTTTCTTGCTGAAATTCTACCTTCCAACACTGAGGCTGCAAATCTGCCCTTGTCCCCAAGGGAAAGAACAAACCTAAGAATCCTGTAAATTTTAGCCTCAGACGTTTCAGGCAGAAAGTGTGACTCACAATGATAAGATTATCAGGACTTGGAGTTGCTCACGTTTATCACAAGAAAATTAGCATAAATCATGAGAAGACACTCTGTGGTAAATTAACAAAAATGGAGATTGCATTCTGAACAAAGACGTTGAGCTTTTAAAATGACCTTAAATTGATGAAAGCTTTGGATATCGAGTTTCACCACTGCATTTGCAATAAATTAAATGCTATTAATCAGATAGAAATAACAGTCCTTTTCATAAAAGAATACCACAAAAAGCAGCTTGGATAAATAAAGCTATTTCTAGTCCCTAAGGATGGCCCACAGTAACAATACTCAGCTATGTCGATGCAACAGACATTTCCCCTGGCCCCTGTCAAAGCAGCAACTTCTCCCTGTGAAGAATGTGTCTGGCTGTGGAATTCGTGCATGTGGCTAGGGAGAGGGGACAGGACAGTTAAACTAACTGCAGTTCTCAATGTTTCAGTTTGATTTACGCCAAACCACAATTTCCTTCCACCACCCCTCACCTATCTCTCCCACAAACATACTGATCACCCACCAAAAAACTGTCCAATCTCTATTACAAACAAAATATTACCTCAAACAAAAATAAATAAATAAAATTAGAGATCTGGGCACTTCAATGAGAGAAGAAATGGAAATGAAACATTCAGGATACTTTCTAGAGTCCCTGCCTAGATTCAGATCTCCTGTATTGTTTATGAATTTGCACAGAAGAGCTAAGCATCACTTCTGTTTCTTCTCTTCAGTTCTTTTGCCTGAGACTGCAACCTCTAATAACACTCTTAGCATTGCTAAATTCCATTAAGCAAGGAAATTTTTGTATGTATGGGATTTAAACTATGGAATGCTCATACTCAAGGGTTTCTCACTGCTCATCATTATTTTACCATTAGCTATTATATAAACAACTACTTTGCACAAAGCATCATGTCAGATTTTGCAAATAGCATATGGTGAATAAGACAAAATATCTGCTCTATCTAAGAGATTAAAAAGATGGTAGAGAAGATGAAACAACACCAAACATAATTAGTTGTTATGAAACATGAATAGTGGGACTCTAATATCTAAGAGAGGCAGAAGTCACAACTCACTGGATCTCTCAGAGAAGACTTCACAGAGGAGGTGGTATTTGATCTGGATCTTGAAAAATGGGTAGGACCTGGATAGATTGATATGGTGGCCTTGAGGCTGGAAAGGCTGCCATGTGGGTAGAGTGGCATAAACAAAGGCAGAGTATCTGAAAACTATAGAGATGAAGTGATTTAACTTGGTATTGCATGGAGGGTAAATGGAAGTGTGAAGTCAGAGATAACTCTGGAAGGTTAGATTGGAGCCAGGTTAACAAAGGCCTTGGATGAGGTTGTAAGTAACTGAATGGGCAATGGGGAGCCAGTGGAGTGACTGTTCAAGCAAAATCTTAGGAAGAAAACTCTGGCAGTGATGGGTAGTAACGGTTTTGTGGGAGGAGAGACTGAAGGAGTGTAAGTAAATGTGGATAGATACTCTCATAACGTATGCTGGAGTCAACGAGGGTTTGAACTAGGGTGAGGCCACGTGGGCATGAGGGGTATTTTAGACATTTAATCCATATGTGCCTGATACTACATAAAGGGAACAAGACATGGAAGAACCAAGAGTGATTCCAGGGGGCCGACCAGGTGAAGTAGCAGTTAAGTGTGCGTGCTCTGCTGCGGTGGCCCAGGGTTCCAGGGTTCGGATCCCGGGCGCACACTGACGCACCGTTTGTCAAGCCATGCTGTGGCAGCATCCCATATAAAGTAGAGGAAGATGGGCATGGATGTTAGCCCAGGGCCAGTCTCCCTCAGCAAAAAGAGGAGGATTGGCATCGATGTTAGCTCAGGACTAATCTTCCTCACAAGGGAAAAAACAAAAGAGTGATTCATTCCAGACAAATGAGCTTGCCTGAGTGAAAGAACAGAGAGAAGCCAGGAAATAGCATGTTTGAGAAGGAAGTTGAATGTAGCTTAGGACATTCTAAATCGAGGTGCTGGGGAGATAGATAAGTAGAGATTTGAGCCAGCAACATAAATACAGAACTGGAACAAGGTCAAAACAGCTGAGATAACTGGGAGGAGTACAATCACCAAAGGAGGAGGCAGAGGAAATAGAGTATCCATAAATGTCAGTGTCACCCAATTTTCAGGGACACATATCTAGAGACACTGATTCTTTCTTCTTTTAAATTAGATATAATAAACAGCATTGGGATTTTGTTCATATTTGGAACTTTTTTTTTTTTTTTTGGTGAGGAAGAGGGGCCCTGAGCTAACACCTGTTGCCAATCTTCCTCTTTTTGCTTGAGGAAGAGTGGCCCTGAGCTAACATCTGTGCCAGTCTTCCCCTATTTTGTATGTGGGACGCCTCCACAGCATGGCTTGCTGAGTGGTGTAGGTCTGAGCCTGGAATCCAGGCCTGCAAACCTGGGCCGCTGAACCAGAGCACACCGAACTTAACCACTATGCCATCAGGCAGGCCCCCATACTTGGAATCTTTAAAGGTACTGGTTAAGCATTTTTGAAATATAAAGAGAAGGAAAAAACAAGCTCAAAAGCTCTGAGATCTTACCCTTTGTCAGGTTTCTGAAGTGAAGTGTCCACTTTGACAATGTTCTCGAGATCCTGACTCCTTCAATGAAAAATAAATACAAGTCAGTGACAGTAAAGCTATCTTTGAAGTAGGTAAAATTCTTCATCCGTTTTTAGTGAAGAAAGAGATAGTCCGTGTGTTGTTCAGGAATTATTGAGTTTAACTGAATAACAAATTAGTTCTATCGTATCAGCTCACAGCACAGACACACACGCAAACACACACACACACTCCCCCCTGTTATTCCACCTGGGCATTGGCTCTGCCATCTAGTGCTCGCAGAAATAACTACAGTTTCTTCTAAAGACTCATATTGGCTGCTCCCAAGTTCTCTACTTAAAATAGGGTATGGACAAGAAAATATAGTTAACCGCATAAGTAAACACAGAAGTGTGTTCAGAAGTTTTTCTACCGGAGCCAAGGAGCATTAAGCAACATATCCAGATGATTAATTAGTCCCTCACATGAGGTGAAAATATCTGTTGTCTTAGGCTTCCAAAGGGAAAGAAAGTACGTTTTAAACTATAGGATAGGTGGAAGCATCTGACCCATAGAGGGCTTGAATCCATGCTTGTCTCCCGAGGTCATGAAAAGGAGTAATTGTAAAAATCCTTATAGGTTTCCCTGTAATTAAGACCTATGTTTCACAAACAATGTCTCATAGAAGGTTAATAGACTTCCACGAAGAGAGAATTTTGTAGTCAAGTAAATTTGGGAAATGTAACCTACTTCTGGAGATTCAGAATACATATGAGCACACTGAAGATTCTGAGAAGTCCTGTGGCAGAGGACTCTATTTAATTATGTTCCCTAAAAGCGTTGGGCCATTAACCCCTTCTTTCACAGAACATGCATTGATGTCTCGTGGCACATGGGACACAGTTTGGGAAACGTTGAGGTAGCACTGCACTTTAAGTCACTAGGTACAAGGAAAACATGATTTTCCCCAAAGGTAAGGTATCTATGTGAGGTATGTTTCAAACTGGGACTCTTCTGAGAGTCAAGGGAAATGATAAAATTAAAAAAAGAAAAGAAAAGTATGTAACTTCTGAACTTCGAAAAACGTTTTCAGTCAAAAAAATTTTTGACTGAAAAATTGATTTATTATAATAGTTAAGATGGTAAATTTAATGTTATATGTTTTTTACCATAATAAAAAAATTGGTTTATCATATTGATAGAACTATAAAGTAGCATTGTTCAAAAACTAATCTCAAAAATAGTGGGTTTTTCCCAAAAAATAAAAAATGAGAACAAGATATATCTAAAACAAATGCTAAACTAGATGAGATGTACAAGACAACAGGCATAAATCAGGACTATCATGGGGAAACCTTACCCAAAGGCATCAATACAATTTGTAAGCCTCTTCCTGATGATGCTGGTGGGGGTGGATGTGACCTTATCATACAGCCAATTCCAGACAAAGCTTTTGTAGAACAAGTTCAATCAGTTAACTATATTTCCACCTCTTCATTTACGTATGCCTTAACACCAACTATATCACAGAACTGGGGACAAATGCTGGAATAAAGAGGTGTTTTCCTGTCTTAAGGGGTCTAATCTTATTCTGCTGTCACGTTCAGACAATTTTGGTTATTTTCTTAATGTAAAGCTTAAACTAGAAATAAAAGGAATAAAATTCTCAGCTACATATAAAAATATCTATTATCTACTATATTTAAGTGGAAAATTGACTTTAATTATTAATTGTTTTGTGTTCTTAAGTGTTCTAATAAAGCATACTTTATCATTTCTACAACTACATAGATATAGATGTAGATCATTGTACCTTATATTTCTTTCAGCAGATCTGTTAGTTTCTGTATATACACCCGGTTTAGGTGGACATATCTGCCTATATTTTTAAAGTTAAAAATAACATCTGTTAGGTAAGGAAACACTTCTCTGTTAAATTTAAATTTATAGGAAAACATTTATATTCAAAAAGATAAGTGTGTTAGAACAACAGTACTACTTGAGATAACAAACTTACCTTAGCTCTTTTGGTTCACTAGAACTCAACCATCTTCTATTTGAAATTCTAGAGTCCAATATACTAACTTTGCAATTTAGCTTATCTGTTTTAATATACTTCTAACCACTGGATATATTTAGATATATCTGTCTTAAACATGTTCATGTTTATTCTATTTTAGTTTCCAATCATCAATAAAGCATTTTCATACTTACCTCTGTTAGATAACGATATAAGATTTTAAAATATTAAGAATCATTTTTTTATTATTAGGCATCAGAGGAATGATTTTTTTTCTTAAAGACATTCCATGTGAATATTATCAAGAAGTATATTTGCTCAGATAAGATGGGAAATATTTTTATATTTCTAGTACACCCATCACATTAAGAAGGAAAACATTGAATTGACAGTATTAAATTTTACAATGTTAGGTTCTGTGACAATTTATGATATAAGGCTTTTCTCTGTTCTTTTTCTAAGTATCTTATTGACCTACTTATACATTCTTGCTTTTCCTCAAGAAACTCTATTCAACTATTTTTTGTACCCCTGAGGACATGTGTTAATTACATAGGAAACACTTCCTTTTCATATTCTTTCATTAAAATCATCTTGCTGTGATTAAAGTAATCAGGGTTTAAAACATGCAAGTTGTCCTAATTTTATTTTTAAGATGATTGGTGGAAAAAAGAAACTAGAGTAGTAAAAATGGATTAGACCAATTCCCGTGAAATTTAGCTTCTTTTGAAACTGCACAAGCTCACTGCTCTAGAGATGCTGATTTTAGATTAGAATTTAGGTGGTACTAAAGCCAATTTATCTTAGCCCCCTAAAAAAAATCCTATTCAAATTGAGATTTAATTGTGCAATACTATAAGAGTAAAAGGAAAAATAAGATAAAAAGTTTGAGAAGTTATTTTTAAGAGTATAATTATAACCAATGTACAAATAAAAAGTTATAAATCTCGTTTATATTTTTTATTAAATCGATGAAGAAGTATTTTCTTGACTCGGTTAAAAAAAAATTTATCTTCTCATCCTAAGGACAAAATTTCAAAGATCCTGTGAAGTTTCATTGAATTCAGACCTGAGTTTTTAACTCAGTAGGCTGAACCCCTAATGCTACATAGGCCTGCCTCCCAATTGGCATATTCTAGCTGAATTTATCTTCTTACTAAAGAATAGTTCTAGAATTGTCTCACATTTTGTCAAAAAATCACCATCAAAAGCAAACATACAAAAGAATCAAAGGCAGCAATCAAGCAGATCTAATGTATTCAGTCTTCATTGAGATACCATTTTTTAAAATCGCACAATAATAATGGAAATGTGCAACGTATGTCTTGAAAAATGGTTTGAGATTATTAAACAGTTTAACAGGAACACATGGGAAGATTTTCACATCTCTGAATTTGTTTTTTAGTATTAATTATAAAGTGTCAGAGATTCAAAGTGGAAAAGCAAGTCTGTCTTTTTTTGTTGATTCAGAGAGAAGTTAATTAGAAGATTTTTCAAAATTTGTGATAGTTTTGAAATAGATTACAAATTCCTTAGCTAAAACAAGACTAAAGAACTACACAAAGGTATTTCTAACATAAGGGAGGGTTTGAACAGTAACATAAAGTTTCAAGAACATCTTTCATCAGAAAATGTAGCTCTTAATGGAAAACTTAACTAGGACTAAATATAAACTGTGTGTGTGTGTGTGTGTGTGTATGCACATATATATATGGCTTATATTGATATTATATATAATATATGTCAAATACATATATACATATATATTTATATTTTTATATACAGAGAGAGAGGTTCCTTACATATTGGCTCCTAATACATAACCTAGTGGAAGCCTGAGTATGAACACTTCCTGGACATGAATGTTGTTCATTTCTATCTTGAAGGTGTAATGGCCGTAAGTATTTGAAGGCAAACATAAATACACACTTGTGTTGGCAAACAGAGTTAGAAAAGCTTTACAAGTGCCTCTTCAGAGAATGTGCACACAAAACATATCCATGCTTTGTACAAAACAGCCCACAATTCATTTGCTTTCATTTCCCTTGAACTTCTTCATTTTGGCAAAAAATTCTGCAGTGCTAGGTCTTACCTATTATCTCGTCTTAGCTGGTTAGGAGATGAAACAGGAGAACTGGGCTTTGGAGGTATTGGAGGGTGAACAGTTGGTTCCCTTTAAAGCAGAAAACAGCAGTTCGTTTCACCATGGAAACATGGTCAAGTTTAGCATCTATTAACCAAATGCATTTATTGCCTACGTGGAAATATCTCCTGCATCTCACAACCTCCACGCATGAAGTACCTGAAAGGTCAGAACCTATGGAGCACCGACCTTTAAAGAAGTCAAATATTTAGATTACAGATATTTTGAAAGTTCATTTAACCAGATTTTTGGAAACCCTATCATCTTTAACTGTAGTTTGAAACATAATGTGTTCTTTAAACAGCTTAATATTGTGCTAGACTATCTAGCTCAAGCCGTGGCATTTTGGGTCAGCAGCACACGAGCATAGTAAATGGTTCTTGGGCATTAACATATAAGCTTCTTTAGGAATTATGTCAACTATCAGGCTGCTACGGAAACAGCAAGAAACGGTTTCAATTCCACAGACCTCAAGGTAAAGTTGATTTGAAGTTCTTAACTAAATCTGACTTAAATATTGTCAGCACAGGCCAGTTTGATAATAGCAAAGCATATATGTACAGTCAGCCTAAACTTTCCAATGAAGCGCCATGGTAACCACTGAGCTGGTGTGACTGGATGACCTAGGAACTGAAGACAGGCAATTATGTGCATATTTTGGCTGGAATCAGCACCATACCCAGGGCATGTCACTCCCCCCACCCCAACCACTACCACTCCAGTTGTTCCCTATTATCCTCAAGATAAATTTCATACCTGGTTAAAGTACTCTGTAATCTAGACTCTGTTTACCCCTCTGGCTTCTGCAGTATGCGAGGTGAGCACATAGGTTCTGGAGTCAGGCTGCCTGAATTGCCAGCTGTGTGGTAATGGGTTAACCTGATTCCATTTCTTCATCTGAAATAACCTTTCTAATAGGATTGTTGGGGTGTTGCCAGCACTGAATGAGATCATGCTTTTATTTATTTATTTTTTTGACAGCGTTGTGTACTTTATTTTTATTTCTTTCTTTCTATTGCTGTATAATTGACTAAATCATGCTTTTATTTAACAAATTTTTTTTGGTAGCTTTCTATGTACAAGGCATTCTACAAAATGCATAATTCCCCTGTTCTCAAAAGGCTTTCAATACACAAATAAATATATGACAAATGGAGAAAAGTGCTACGAGGAAAACTAAAACACAGGAAAGGGATATAGAGTGATGGGGTAGGGACACTATTTTGTATAGAATGACCTGGGAAGGTCTTTCTGTGAGGCAAAATTTGAGCTAAGATCTGAAAGAAGTGATAAAATGAGCCATGAGGATATTGGAGGAAGAGCATATAAATATGAACATCATCAGCTTAGAGATGGTATTTAATAGCTGAAACTGGACGAGATCACTAAGGGAGTTAGTGTAAGTAAAGATGAAAAGAAGGCCAAAGGTTGAACCCTGGGCCCTGCAATACTTAGATGTCAAGAATATGAGAAGGAAACAGCAGACGAGTCTGAGGAGAAGTGGCCAAGGAGAAAAGAAGAGACATATGAGGGTGTGATAGCCCGGAAGCCAAGTGAGGAAAGTGTCTCAAGAAGGGAGTAATTGGCCAAGCCAAATGTTACTGACAGATCAAATAAAACAAGGATTGGGAAGTTAGCATGGTTTGGGCGATATAGTGGTCATTGGAAACCCTGATAAGAGCAGTTTTGATGGGGAAGTGGTGAAAAAACATTATAGGAGTGGATTCAAGAGAATATGGGAAGTAGAGGCATTGATGTAGATACTTCTTTTGAGGCATTTTGCAGTGAAGAGGGAAGCGAGAAATGAGTAGCCATCTGTAGGTTGATGGGTCAAGAAAGGTTACTACAGTATGTAGTTAGGATGATGGGAATGATCCAGTGGAGAGGCTAAATTTGATGGTGCAGGAGAGTGAGTGGAAAGTGCTAGACAGATGTCCTTGGGAAGTGATGGGACTTAAGGCACAAGTGGGCTGGTTGGTCTTAGACAGACCTGCTACTATGGATGAGCTCTCTGTAGTAGCTACTACTCTCTGTAGTACTACTCTCTGTAGTAGCTACTCTGTAGTAGCAGAGAGAGCTTATCCATAGTAGCAGGAGGGAAGGAGACTAGATGGATACAGCTGAGGTATGCTGGTTGATTTGGAGTGGGAAAAATTTTCCTTCATTTGTTTCTATTTCCTCATTAAACAGGAATCAAGTTCATTAATTCAAAGTGAGGAGGGGGAACAGGAGTTGGAGAAGAGAGGAGCAGAGAGAATGTGTGAAATGGTTTCTAGGAGAGCAGGAGAGTAAATGGATTCAGGAAATGTAGTATGATGATAATAAAAATAACACACCATTATATGTGATTATTACATGCCAAGAACTTTTCTAAATACTTTATATATATTAACTCATTTAATCCTCACTGCAATCCCAGAAATAAGTATCATTCTTCTTCCTATTTTACAGATGAAAAGACTGAGGCACAGAAAGTAAAAATGTATATGCCATGATAATACAGCTGGTAATGGGCAGAGTGAGGAATCTGAACCAGGAAGTCTGGCTCCAAGTCCTCCTCATGCTTTGCTGCCTCTAAAGGGATCCTTGGGCAGCACCAGTGGCTCAGTGAAGGTTAGTGCTCATGGAATTAAAATAAGGCTAGTTGGCACCATTTTCCCTGGCCATATTCAGTTGCTTCAGGGGCAGGAATAGAATAGACAGAGTTGGATTTAACTAAGTTTATGATTCAGCCAAGTGAGTGCAACAAAAAGAAAGATGGCAAGGGAGGGGAAGGAGTACACAAGGAAGTGATTACAATGAGGGACCGTGGACTCTGAGAGGGACTTGGAGGAAAGGGAGGATGTGAGGGGAGAGGGGCTGTGGTAGAATCAATGCATTGCTAGTTGTGGTGGGGCTAAAGCATTTCTGGAATCAGATAACTGGAGGGAGTGAGCTGGACAGATGGAATGTGGAAGCCAGAGAGAGAAAGCTTTGCAATTGAAATTTTGTAGCATGTGTGGTTACTTACAAGGGCAAGATCTATGGGTGGCTGAGGTAGGGTGAAGAACAAGGTCATTGGAGAGGAGGTCAAGGAAGTGAGAGGCCAGGATAGGGACAGATCCTCTAAACAGATTTGGAAATTACCAAGCTCTATGACAGGAGTTTCTGAGAGACAATGACCACTGTGCCAAAGTCTTCAAAAGAGTGAGAGTGAGTGACTCAAAGACCTTCAGGTGACTCCAGTGAGGAAGAGAAGCTCAGGATGGAATGGGTTCAAAGAAATGGGGAATTTTAGGGAGGAGGGAGTTAAAATTGAGAGGAAGGGGCAATCAGGAACAAACAGGACCCCTCCCCTTCCTCCAGACCCTGTGATATGTGGAGTTAGGAGGAAAACTGCCCTCACTGAGAGGGAGGCTGTGGGAGCAGGGTCTTCTAGGAGAACTCAAGCAAGAGGTGAGCGATCATTCAGAGCTGAGGCTGAAGAGTAACCAGTTTTGATGGTAATGGATGACACATCCAGGGAGACATCATAGAAAGATTTGAGAAGTTAGGATGCAGTTACGTTGGGTCGGGTTCAGTGATACACAGAGCGCTGTGGGGATGCTCCAGGTAATAAGAAATCATGTGGGGGCCTGCCGGGGTGCAAGCAGTTAAGTGCATGTGCTCTGCTGCGGCGGCCTGGGGTTCGCCGGTTTGGATCCAGGGAGCGCACCAACGCACCGCTTGTTAAGCCATGCTGTGGCGGCGTCCCATATGAAGTAGAGGAAGATGGGCACGGATGTTAGCCCAGTGCCAGTCTTCCTCAGCAAAAAAAAAAAAAAAAAAAAAAAGAGGAGGATTGGCATTGGATGTTGGCTCAGGGCTGGTCTCCCTCACAAAAAAAAAAAAAAAAGGAAGAAATGATGTGACTGGAGTTCCCAAGGGGATCCATGGCCACAAGGATGGAGGATGTGATGGAATTAGTCCTGAAGCTTTCTTGGCAGAGTGTGATAGCGAGTCTCCGGGTGATGGGCAGTGGAGCAGCAGAGCACAGAGCATAGTGAATCTCCTGGCTCTTGTGTCGATGGTGGCATTGAAGCCAGCAGAAGGGCATGCAAAGCCTTAGAGCACTGCCTGGCTCACTGTAAGTGTTCAGTAAATGCCTAGTGCTGCCGTTGTTTTTATCCCACATGAACCCAATACTGTAGCTTTGCCAAAGCACTTGCACTTCCTACCCCCCAGCCCCCACACCACCATATTCTCTCTCCTCTCTGGCACACCTCTTTCTCCCTTTCACCTGGATACTCCCCCCTTGCCCTTCGGACTTTGGCTTGGATGTTACCATCTCCGGTGGTACCCAAAGCTATGCCAGATATGTCCCTATGTCTCCCATAGCACACTATTTTTATAGCAAATATCACGCTGTTCCGGATTATCCATAATTTTCAGTCTCTACACTGGACTGAAAGCTCCTAAAAGGATAGTTATATCCTAAGTGCTAGGATTGTGTGTGATGTTGGTGCCCAATAAAGATGTGTTGAAAGAGGGAATGATTGACTGAATTTTTATTTTTGGGGGAGGGAAATGGCTACCGAAGAGGGGCCTGAAACTTTAAAAATCTGTTCAAGTTTAGTTGTCCCATAGGAGAAGTCCATTGTTGATTCCACTACTGAATACCTAGTAAGTACTAGGCTCTCAGATGAGTTATCGTGTTACATGATATGCCTGGAAAAACAATTTACATGAAAATAGTCTCCCTATTCTGGCCCAGTGTTACATTTTACAATTAGATATTATTTTATTTGTATTGTCATCATCTTCTCTTCTCAAAAAATATCCCTGTTTTGGGGATAATGTGATATCACTCAAGTGATAGTGTGTCTTTAGTGCATCTGTGTGGGTTAGCTGATTATATGGTTTTCTTCCAGGGGTAGAGGAAAGGAGTGAGCAGGTGGCCAGTCCTAGGTAATAATAAGTCTGTCCAGGGCACTGGATACAGGCGAGAGAGAGCTAACAAGATGGAAAGGAGGATTACAAAAAGGAGAAATAAGATGGTGCCAAACTTTGCT